AATGTGCAGCCGACCACTTGCTGTATGATAACAAGTGCTAAGACGAATGGACATCCCAGTTAGCATTGCAGACACTTTGGGCGGACTGCAGACAACTGTCCCGCTTTCTTCAATGCGCCTTACGTGTTTCGCCCCGAAATGTCTGCAGTGGAGTCAAAGTAAATGCTAGGTGGCATTGTCAATATCATTTCTCACAATCGGTATCACCAACACCGGTGGGATAAGCAGCCGTACCAGCACCAGACAATTATCACCACCATTCTCATCCACCTATTCCTTCCTCTTCATTCCATCATTATTCCCATCAATATTCTTCCATTTATCAAGACAATACTTCGTCATGCGTATCAATATTATTCTTAACATTGTTACAATATTCGAAGTGATCTCACAAATATTGGTGATTATAATAATCACTGTTGTAGCGTTAAATAATTCCCCAAAATTATTAACCACAGCAATCATCACTCAACATTGGATGCTGACCATCACTGTTTAAGTCGACTTCTTTAGCTGAAGGCTTACGGTCAATCATCCCCGCCATTTGGTGCTCCGTCGTGTCACGTGCGTGCACGATTACTAGCTAGCTAAGCATTCACCTCTACCCTCGATTTTGTCCCGAAATATAATACGTACTTTGGACGACAAAATCTGGTCTTTTGCTTTACCATTTGGTACTCGAAGGACGAACACTATAGTGGTTGTTGGTATAAGATCTTGCGTTAGTATAATCCGTACAGTTCGCGAACGTCGATACCGTCAGCCCCTAAATTGTCATCGGTTCTTCAAACTCTACCAACAACACCAGTACTAACGATACTACTGATGCTACTGCGAAAATTACCACTGAGACCACCACCACCACCAACACCACCACCACCGATACTACTATTCCTAGCGATTCTAATACTAACACTACTAAGGCGACTACTACTTCTACTAATCCTACAGCTGTAGTCGGTGGTATTGAAGTTGTTATCCTCATGTAGTTAATATACGCCTGATAATAGTAGTGATAATGATAATACTAATAATAATATTTGTATTGAAGATGACAACGTTTGTAATAGTAATGATTATAGTAGTATTAATAATAATAATAAATTTCCAACAATAATCATAATAATTGATTTTATTATTGTTGTTATAATTATTACTACTATGATTATGATTATTATGGATATCAGAAATGATGTCATCGTTAAAGCTATGAACTTCATCACCAATATTACAGTCATGATTGTCACTCTGACTTTTATGGATATTTTGAGTATTGTGATAATTGTAAATATTGTAATGAGTATTTCCATGTGCTCAGCGTGCATCTGGTCACGGGTAGAGGAGTGTGGGGAGTTTAGTGAGTAGAGCGACGGCGACAGAGAGGGAGAAGGGGAGGGAGAGAGCGAGATAGACAAGCAGACAGACACATAGACAGAGAGAGTGAGAGCTGTGCAATACGAGCGGGTTCGATCCCCGGCATCTCCACACGCATCGATGTGGCGACGCGGTGGCACTTTTGACAATTCTCTTCTTCACACCATCACACTCACCAACTGGCAGACGCCATCATGCCGACCAGACAGAGTGTACACCAACCGTCGACAAGTCAGTGGTAATCGAAGCCAATTAATTACAGACTCCACTCGTCGTATATCACAGACAGCTATCTGCGGACCTCGATCACTCCTTCCTTCATAGCGTACACTTGTGCGGTGTATTACAGCCAACTCCAAGTCTCAGACTTCACTGGTGATGATCGGGCGTCGGACACACTAACTGGCTAACCAATTCTCCATCCAAACGCAAATATATGGGCGGCTTCAGAATAACACCACTCAGCCAACCACTCATGAGACATACACCGACATCTCCAGCACCAATTGGCCAACTGGTTTATGACTGTTTCCAATCAGTGAATGAAGCGATTTTATGTGTTTTTCTTATGTTTTATTATTTGATCGCGCACTTTTTTTATAACATTGTTCTTGTCATAGAAATATTGCGTCATTCTAATAAGCTGACGTGTGTTGTGAGCCTCATATAGGTAGTAGCAGGAATGCTTTTTCCTATGTTTATGTACTCAGTTATTCTTCCTTCACTCCTTCTGAATCTTAAATACAGGCGCTATCACTGGGCACCGAATTCTGTAAGTGTGAGTCCAAACTCAATAGCTTGCATACTCATGTGCTATTCGAATATTTTTTTTACCAGACCAACGATCTCATACCCACATCACCTCAGGAATTTCAATACTTTAAATCTATTCTTCTTGATTGCTGTCATCGGTTTACTAGTTCAAAAACTAGCTCGAATAATCTTCTGACCGAAGACTAAATACATCAACTTAAAGAACTAGAGAAGAATGATGACATTATCATATGCCATGCGGATAAATGTGGAGTCGTTGTAGTTATGAATCCTCAAGATTATAATGATAAAATCTCAGTGATCCTTTCTGACCAAATGGAATTCGCCAAACCCGATGGTGAAACGAACAAGACACATCTAATTGAAAATCAACTGACTGATGTTTTCAAGAACATGAGGAATAAATCCGAAATGTCGTCAGATCTATATGAAGGCATCTGACCAGTAGGCTCCATAATACCGCGTTTGTATGGATTACCGAAAATTCACAAGATAGGATTACCTCTCCGTCCTATTCTCGATATGGTGGGTTCTCCTTATCACGGAATTGCTAAGTGGCTAGGTGAAATGCTGGAACCAGTTCGTAGGCAAGTGTCTAAGTTTTCCATTGAAATTACATTTAAATTTATTGAGTATTATAGATTTTAATGTCTCAGACGAAGTCATGTTCTTATTATATGTGACTTCGCTATTTACCAATGTACTCCTCGTAGAAACTGTTTGCTGTATTTGTGATTACACTGACAGAAATAGGGTTACCAACAATCTACCTCAAAGAACTTTTATTGAGATGCACGTTGAATGTTCAGTCCACCTTCAATAATGAGATTTTTAGACGGAGAGATGGCATTGTGATGGGATCACCACTGGGTCCACTGCTGGCTGATTGTTTTATGCCAACCTTTGAAAACTCTCAGCTTAGTCAAACCATCGGTCATTTCGATATTTATAAAAGATACGTAGACAACTCTTTCGTTATTTGCGATAATAACGTAATTCTTGATGATGTCTTGTTTGCTTTCAACAACTGACATCCTTCTTTACAATTCACCATAGAAAAGGAATCTGAACTAAGTATTCCCTTTCTTCATATGTGCCTTAGTAGGTACAATGACGAATCTCTCAAAAGATCCATCCACCAGAAACGCACATGGAATGGACAACTAACTAATTTTCATAGGTGGGTGCCTACCTCCAGGAAAAGAAACCTAATTAATTGACCTGCTTTAGGATAAGAGACATTTGTAGTTCTGATTGTGTTGACTCAGAAATTGACTTCATAAATGTCACGTTCGCAGAAAACGTTTACCTGAACCGATTTATTGACAGTAACACGAAAGATAAGCAGTCTAAACTGGTCACCGAGTCAGTTCCAAAGAAAGCCTCGTTCATGAACTTGGAATTCAAAGGTGATCAAGCTTCAGATATGCTCAAAAACCATCTCTCTAAAGCAGTCAGTAAGACGTTCTTTGCTGCAAAATTACAAATGACATTCACCAGCCGCAAGTTGTTCTCCATCTCTGTAAAAGATAAGCTCCCCCTTCGACCGCCTCCATGTACATGTATCAGTTCGCCTGCTCCTGTGTAGCAAGGTATATTGGCCATAGCCAGAGGACGCTTTTCACATGGGTACGAGAACATATTCCAGAATGGTTTTACAAGGGAGAAAGGAAGTGTGTGAATCTCTATTCCAGAACACCTGATCAACTCCTGTCACTCTGTCAACCCTGACCATGATTTTACGATCATCTACCGAATCCATGATAACTTGCCGCGTTTTCTTCGTTACAGACTTCTATGGACAGCAGAGGCCTTGGCAATTCATGACTCTAAGCCAGACCTTTGTGTTTTATAAAAGAAGTATGTACAATCCCTACTTCTGCCTTGGCCATGGAGGGATAGACATTTATTTATTTAGTTATTCTATGTACCTTTCCCTCATTACTACGATTATTATTACTAATACTATTCTCACTTTGAATTGTTTCTGCTTATCATTCTAAATCCAATTTTTTTCCAATGTTGAATTCTATCTTATCAAATTTCACACCATGTTACGTAATATTATATATTAGTCTAATAATCCTATAATTATGCACCCCTTTCCAACATCTATACACCTTATGTATTATTCTATATATGACACTAATTGTCTTGACACTTAACTATGATTATAACCACAAATATTTTAATTGCATTTCATACTATTATTATTTCATGTATTCATACCTTTGATCTAATTCCCTCACCGAATATAATTTCTTAAAAACCATATATATACGATTGTATAGCTTCATATTAAATTCGTTGAAAAGAGTCTCTTCGCTGAATATTGTGTTCTTATTATGGATATCAGAAATTATGTCATCGTTAAAGCTATGAACTTCATCACCAATTTCACAGTCATGATTGTCACTCTGACTTTCACGAATATTTTGAGCATTGTGATAATCCTGAATATTATGATGAGTATTTCCGTGTTCTGATCCCCGATGTAGCTGTGTATATTTTGTGAGTCAAGCGCATACCAAGATGACTGAAACAATAAGAATTAGGGGAAACATGTTTCCTTATAATAAATGGAGATTCAGGTAGCTCGTAGCGATTCAACCTGGTTGCTTTGCAATGAAACCACCCAAGTTATTTCAGTTGCTGAGTCAAAAGTTCAGACTGATCGTTAGCTGAGAAAAGGTGTGTCGTTAGGGAGTATTATCAATCATTAAACAAGAAGCGTGACTTCATATCATTTGCTTAGTAATATTTCATCACATCAATACTCAAAAATATTGTCATTCAGATGTGAATTAAAATTCGAAAGTACAAGGAGTCTTTTTAAAAACAAACAAATAAATAAAGTTTCACAACTTTTATTTAAAGTAAAATAGATAAAACCAAATTTCAACTATGACCGTCTATACTTGACGCACAATTTCAATAAAGCGAGTAAATAAATTTGATACAATTTATCGTACTACTTAATAGTAGTATACAGTAGTATAAATGTTCAAAAAAACATAGAAAAATAAAATTAGAAGGATATATTCACATGTCATAAATAATTTTTAAAAACTCAGGTTAGTATTATTATTAATATCCTACTTAGTGAGTAAAATAATTACTATGCTGTTTAAGGTATAATTCATTTGTAACTAATCTATAATCTAAATCATGTAATTGAGGAATTATTGGCTCTTCCCGTGTGTAACTAGTTGTTGACTGGATCACATCCAATTGCTTCAAGTCTTGTTTATCCACCATGTCATTTACACGACACATTGAATGTTTATCTAAAGTAAAATAATAAAAAAATTCATATACTCCTCTGGTAAATTTAATTATCAAGAAGGGATGAAATCATTTTGCTTAAAACATTCCTTCCAACTACTCACAAATGGTCTGAACATAGAAGTTTGCATAGAAGTGAACCAATCCAACCTGCCACACTTCGTGGAAAACACAAACCTCAACAAAAGAGGAGATTAGAAAGAACCATAATATGCAGATATGTCAGGGAGAAAGAGTCGTAACATGCAAAACATGAGCGTTTAATGGATATGGCGAAGTCACAGAGTCATGGCATCTACTCCATTCAGAAACGACTTCCAGCCATATCACCAATCGTCTTTAGCCAACAATTCGTAGAACCTCATCAACCACGCAGTCTACACCTCCCCTCGTGGCTGGCTCAAAATAACTATCAAAGATCTCATAGACTGATTCCGTGTTTTCGTCTGATAACCACTGGTTCTTTTCCAACCTGACTGCTTCTATGTCATGTGATGCATAATACATGTCCTAGGACATTTCAGTCTATATAAATTCACATCCTCATCGATTGACTTGCACTCCTCACTATCACTGACCATATTATATCACCTAACATGGGAGATAGAACACAAGCATCTGTAATCAAACACAGCCTTTACATGTCATCCATTTTCAAAGACTATGTCTCACAGACATAAAAGTGGACAGAGTGGACTGGTGGTAAGCACACGTCTTTTCATCGATAGTCGTACGTCGTATCTACGCCTGAGGTGGGATAAATTGGCTAATGAAATACGAGGCTATTGTGTCCGTGCTGAGATTCGTCAGCAATCAGTCAGTGCATTAGGGCTGATGGAACAAGCCAAATAAGTGGAGTGTTCAATACGGCCGACCACTTCACTTCCCATCTTTACGCTATGAGTTAGTGTATCACAAAAACCAATCATATTAGAAAAATTATTCATGAGTCAACTCTTAGAAGGTTTTATTATTTACTGAAGTTTTCAGTCTAGTGTTAGGCATATCAGCTACGGTAACGTCTTTAGATTTCAAAATTTGATGTAATTTGAAACAGATTGGTTGGAACGGGAAATTCGCCCAATTAACAAATTATCCCTTAATGGTTTCTGCATGCCAATAAGTGATGATATTCCTACAGGGACTGCGATTCAATAACCATCGTCATCCACTAAAAGAATTGATGGATGCTAAATTCATGAAAAATGAACAGGGTCATTGATCTTCTCGGCATTTCTTGAGTCGTGTTGAATATTGACGGAACTATTACAATTAAAAGGAGGCGATAATAGGACACAGAACAAACTAAATGTAGGTTTTATAACCATATAACACTATCCAAGTTTTGGTTTGCAGGGATTTGATTGGTTACAGGATCTCATCATGAGCTGACATCGGTTAGAGAACCATTAGAAAACCTGGGAGTACTGGACAGCTGTTTCGTGCTAGTTTAGGACCCATCGACAGTTCATACCCACCGGAGGTCGAACACAGCACCTTCCGGTTACAGAGTTGGATGTGTGTACAAGTACTCGCCAGTGACAATGGCTGGTGGTTGCGCTAAAATCACGAATTGGAAGAAGTTAGAATTCATGGATTGGCTATTGAGTCGGGTTCCAGTGGCTGGTTGGTCTATGGGCTTGCCATGTAACCGGAGAACCTAAGGTTCCAACCCCAGTGGGTGCTTGCTGCCGATCAGTTCCAGACTAGGGCTAGATGGATGTCCAGTACTCCATCTTTTCCAATGGTTCTCTAACTAATATCAATCCACAGTTAAACTAGAAACAAATCAAATTCCAATACACTAACTCTTGAAAACTAATTTATAGCCATCCTCCTGATGAATACATGTATGCAGAAATTAATCTCGTTCCTCAATAGGAGATTGGGAAATACTTTCTGACCACTAATATGACTAGAAAAATAGTAATAATATTCGAAGTGAATCCAAAACCTCTACACCACCTCCATCCGCGGCTAAAATGATACAAAGTATTTGAAAAAGTATTTAGAAAAGTCAACGACTATACCTCGAATCTGATAAATGGATGTCAGTGGTTGCATAAGCGATCGATTATTCCATGAATAGGCGAGAAGTCCGATTATAGATATAACCAACGCTGACATTGGTGCAGTGATTGCCCAGTGCCTAAAACATTAACAAAAATAAACATTTCGGAAAAGTTCAAAACTTCTCCAGCAAATATTTTTTTCTAAGATAATAACTGTCTTTGAACAAAAAAATAGAGTTTCTTTTTTTTTCAGAAAAGAACTATGAATACAAAATAAGGTTTCATCATCAAATTTTCTTGCGTTAATTTCACATTTATCGGCTACATCCACTGCGGATATAACAACCGAACATATTAATATATGCGTAAAACTTGATCACTGTGGTAGTAAGCAATTCCATACCAGTTTGTTTATTAGATACATCACACCGTGAAACAGTATTATTATTTACTGGACAACGCTTTGAACCCAATTTATTGTTCATAATCATACCAATTATAATCACACGACTTTCCAAACTCGAGTTCTATAGTTTTCTTTGTTCTCTCCTATTTGTCGTCGTTGGGGTAGTAGAATTTTCCAGTTATCTGGGACAGGTGTTGGATCATTCCTATTACGTGTTCACAGTTCATTCGATAAACAAAGCTTCCGTTATCAATCTCTCCCTCCACTCTGCCGCTGCATTAGATTTTAAAACTGTCATCTTATCCCATCATCCTATTGTATGGTTGTGTGTAATTGCATGTGGTGAGTGCTATCTGCGGCTGAACTATTCTCTAGATTCATATCTTATTCGGGTCAACTAATCTAGATTTTGCTAGGTTTTTCATGCTCGGATAGTCTGACTTCCCCTGTTCTACTACTTTGACCTATGTATTTGACCTGACGTTCATTCCTGCAGCGTATTAGATAGACTAAATTGTTTTGTTTTATTGGCTCCACTGGCGGGACCCTTTAACCGACAAAGCTTGTTTCTAAATGAGTTTTTGGGTAGTTTGAATACCAGCCACTTTTATTGCCACCTAGTTAAGAATTCTGCGTAAGGTTTCCGAGGTTCCTTCTTTGTATGGAAGTACTACTGATGATTTAAATTCTACTACACCTACGACAAATAGGAGAGAACAAAGAAAATTATAAAACTCAGGTTTCGAAGCTGTCTGATTATGACTGATATGACTACGAACAATAAATTTTTTTGAAACCTTGTCATCCAGTAAATAATACTGTTTCACTGTGTGGTATATCTAATAAACAAACTACTATGTAATAACAACTGAACAAGCTACCATTCATTACACAACTCAAGTTTTAAGACTGAATCGATCAAAGGGGACCTATAAAACAAGTTTAATGTTTTTTGGACGGTCAGAGAACATCTTCTGAAAAGTGTACGAGCGAAAATTCTAAAAACTAAAAAGCTATAAGTCAAACAATATGCTAAAGTCTGAACTACACATAAAAATAAAGCTTGTGTTCAAGCGAAAATTTCCATCTAACACCTCAGTTGATGCAACTCAACAAGCCTAACCGAATCATAAATTACCATATTGATTCATCACTCAATCGGAGATACTGAACATAAGCACTCATGATCAAAAAGCGCAAATCTTTTCATAACCCATACCCCTTAATGGTTAAATAATAATTAATTAATATTTCTGGAACAGAAACCAGCCATTTTTACAGGCATGAACATATATGTATCACATAGTCAAAGAGCATGACGGAGCGAACTGCCACACAATACAAACATTGTTTGATGTGTATTCAGATAACACTTCGGTTCTAAAAGTGACTCGATTTGGTTACTTCCAAATGTCAGATGAAAGCAATCTACACATAGTGGCTAGAATGTACTACCGGTAGGCGTGAGTGGTTTCCAACTATGCATAACAATCAGTGTGTTGATTTCTTGGGAACAAACTAACCAAATATTCAGGAAAAACTGGAGATGGGGACCATTGAATGACATCGCACACTAGGCCATCACTAGAGTGGAATCCGAATGGAAAACAACGAGTGGGTAGTTCGAGGGTGATATGGAGGAGATCGTGAGAGGAGGAGATGAACTATGGACACGCGTGGGCCCAGCTAAAGAGGACAGAAGAATACAGAACAAAGTGAAGCCGTGCTGCTGAATCCCTATGTTCCATTAGGAAATCAAGGGAACAATGAGAATTATATATATGCATACAATAGTTTTTGTCCACTTGACATCCGATGTGTTAATTCCTTTCGTATTTGTCCTTCGTCATTCTTTCTTTTGTGTTAAAGTTTATACTACTTACGACTAGTAAGTAGTATGAGTTTATACGTTGATAGTCCATGACTGGGACTGTTGTTCGCCATTGAAGCTCAACCCATTTAATGTAGTGATACTCTATTTGACACATAGATATCATTTACTGATAGTTAAAGATCACCTGCTGTATATGCTTCATTTATTATTAGTATAATTGTTCCCTTGGGTTCCTAGTGGAACATAGGGCTTCAACCACACGTCTCCACTTGCTTCTGTCTTCTGCTGTACTTTTCACTTGCATCCATGTTAGTCCATACAGTTTCAACTCTTCTTCACACGATCTCCTCCATGTCACCCTTGGACGTCCCACTCGCCAATTCCCTTTCGGGTTCCACTCGAGCACTGGCCTGACGCGCGATATCAAGCAGAGGCCTCCTCAGCTAGTGTCCAATCCATCTCCACTTTCTCCTGCATATTTGTTGAGCGATTGGTTCTTGTTTTGTTCGTTCCCATAGTTTCTTGTTGGTGATTCTTTCCGCCCATCTGATCTTCAGCATAGAGCGAAGACAGCTGTTGATAAAGGTCTGCAACAGGCTGTTGGAATTATTCTTTGTGACCCGCCGACAAGTTTCTGATCCATCCGTATAGAAGAACTGACTGACTTGACGTTTGTATTGAAAATCCGAATTTTGTTGTTGATGCAGGCTGAGTGACGAAGATTTCCAGATTGGTTTCAGGTTGATGAATGTGTTTCTCGCCTTCCCGATTCTCGCTCGATTTGACATCCTCGTCCGTTCCTCCTGTAGTTGAGACAACGCTCCCTAGATAAGTGAATGAAGTAACCTCTTTCAAATCCCCCCGTTGATGGTGATTGCCGCTGGATGTTGCTGTTGTTGTTGGTTGGTTGGTTATTTCCATAACCTTCGTCTTATCTATGTCCACCTGCAGTCCTGTCTTTGCTGCTTCTTCGACCAGTTTATCGGCTTTCGCTTGTAAGTCTTCGATTTTGTGTGACATCAAACATAAATCATCCACGCGCGAAATCCAGGTCTTCTAGGTTCTTCACGTCGGTGGTCCAGGATATCCCTGTCTTCTCGTTTCCCACTGTCTGACGCATAATCCATTCCACCACAATTAGGAATATCATTGGTGATAATAAGCACCCTTGTCTGACTCCTGTGTTTACTCCAAACGCTTCGCTGGGTTTTCCGTTGTGGATCACTTGACATGTGCCGTTGTCGTACAGCTGTTGAATAAGGTTGATGAATATTTGTGGTACGCCGTAGTACTCGAGTAGTTTCCAAATTACTTCGCGGTCAACGCTGTCGAAGGCCTTCTCAAAGTCTATAAAGTTGAGGTAGAGGTTTGATTGCCATTCCATGCTTTGTTCGATGATAATGCGTAGAGTAGCAATTTGGTCAGAACATGATTTGCCTTTCCTGAATCCAGCTTGTTCTGGTCGGAGTTCTGTATCCAGTGCGTCCTTTATTCTCTCCAGGATGATACGACTCAGGATTTTACTTGGCGTCGACAGGAGCATGATTCCTCGCCAGTTCTTGCAGAGTCTTAAGTCGCCCTTCTTTGGTAGTTTCACGAGGTAACCTTTCCTCCAGTCAGTAGGCACCTTTACCGACTTCCAGACTTTTTGCAATAATGGAGTCAGCATAACTGCTGTCTTCTCTGGGTCCGCTTTCAGTGCTTCAAGGGGTATTCCATCTGGTCCATATGCTTCATTTGCAAACCATTTTCTGTCAAACACTGTTCATTCAAATCCCTTGGCAGACTGTCTAATCTGACCGTGGATCGCCCCTGACAGCCTGGCTGTTTTTCTTACTGACGTACAATGATTGTGCATTTGACAGCAGTCAGTCACGGACATCTCACATCTTGAGGTTTGCATATTATATTTCATCATTTTATGTACAATATAATACCGTATTCTAAACAAATACTGTGTTTTTTTTTGGATTTTACGAGTCACTCAACGTGTGGTTTAATTAATCGATTGGATTATTGCTCAAGATTTATTAGAAGAAATCTACACAGTGGGATATACCATCTTGCTATTTTGTTTCCTTATATAATGTCAACCATGGTATCAAGAAGATAATACATTATGATCTCAGTGTTTTTAGTCTTCAATGGAAACTGTAGAATTTTCACTTCGAACTGCATAGTTTTACCATTGTTATTATTCCCCTGGGTTCTGCGTGGAACATAGGGCTTCAACAACACATCTCCACTTTGTTCTATTCTCCAATGTCCTCTTCACATGAGTCTGCAATCGCCCATGATCTCTTACATCCTCCTCGCCGCACAATCTCCTCCATGTCACCCTCTCACCAACGACCCACTCGTCGCTTCCCATTGGCATTCCACTCTAGCGACGGCCTCCTCAACGTATGCCCGATCCATCACCATTTTCTCCTACATATCTGCTGCGCGATGAGCTCTTGGTTGGTTTATTGCCAGGCAGAGTTTCTTGTTGCTAACTCTTTTTGACTGGTTATTTGGTCTTCAGTATGGAACGAAAACAATTGTTGATAAATGTCAGTAACTTGTTGCAAATCCTTTTCGTGAAACGCTAGCCAAGTTTCTGACCTGAACAGAAACACTGACTGACTTCACATTTGTGTTGAAAATTCGAATCTTGTTCTTTATGCTGGCTGAGTTAGTGCAGAAGATTTCCAAACTGGTTTCAGGTTGATGAAGGCGTATCTTGCCTTTCCGATTCTGAATGGCTCAGACATCTTCATTCGTTCCGCCGGCCTGTGACTGAAGCTGTGCTTCCTAGATAATTGAAGAAAGTGACCTCTCACAAATCTCTCCCGTTGATGGTGATTGGTGCTGGTTGTCGTTGCTGTTGGTTGGTTGGTTATCTTCATCACCTCTATCTTCTCTGTGTTCACCTGGAGTCCAGTCGTCACTGTCTGCTTCTTCAGCCAGTTTGTTGGTTTTTGCCTACAAGTCTTCGAGTTTTGTGACATTAGATTTAAATCATCCACGCGCGAAATCCAGATGTTGTAGAGTCCTCTTACCGGTGGCCCAATGCATTCCTATCGTCTCACTCTTCATGCACAATCTGACGCCTAATGCAATCCACAACAGTTAGAAATATCATCGATCATAATAGGCAGGCAGCTTTGTTTCCCTCTTGTACTCACTTCGAACGCCTCACTGAGTTTTCCATTGTGGATTGCCTGACACAAGGCACTATCATACCGCGGGCTGTTGAATGAGGTTGATAAAGACTCGGGCGCTGCACGCCGTAGTGTTGAAGTAGTTTCCAAATTACTTCTTGGTCAACGCTGCGTTGTCGAAAGCCTTTACGAAGTCAATGAAGTTGAGGTAGAGGTTTGCAAATAATAAATCCAATCAAAAGAATGAAGTTTATAAACTTTTCTGCTAATCACATTCCTCACTATATTAAAGGTTATTTTACCCCTATATGAAATACAGTCAATACGTTTTGTAAGATAAAAATTGAGGGGATGCAAAGTTAAACACACACACTTCTTACTTGTTAGGTAAGTAAGTTATTCCAATAGAATTCAACCATTCATGAGGTATATATGCCCAGATTACATACAATACTATCAATAAAAAAAAGGAAAATACAAGAAAATTTATGAAAACACTGAAAATACGTTAACAAAATACAGGTTAATGAAAAAGACAAAATTGTGACTTAAGGATTTTAACTCATAAGTAGGCTTTAATGATCCATGTATCAGCTAAATAATGCCTACTGACTGGCTGGTTTGAACATAGAAGTTTGTACAGAAGTGCTCCAGTCCAATCTGCCACACTTCGTGGAAAACACAAACCTCGACAAAAGAGGAGATTAGAAAGAACCATAATAAGCAGATATGTCATGAAGAAAGGCTGGTAACATGCGAAAACATGAGCGTTTAGTGGATATGGAGAAGTCACAGAGTCATGGCATCTACTCCATTCAGAAACGACTTCCAGCCATATCACCAATCGTCTTCAGCCAACAATTCGTAGAGCCTCATCAACCACGTAGTCTACACCTCCCCACCTGACTGGCTAAAACTAACTATTTAAGATTTCATAGACTGATTCCGTGTTTTCGTTTGATAACCACTGTTTCTTTTCTAACCTGACTGGTTCTATGTTATGTGATGGCTAGAAATGCGTAACACATGTCCTAGACATCTCAGTCTATATAGCTGCACAACTTCATCGATTGACTTGCACTCTTTACTATCACTGACCATATTATATCACCTAACATGGGAGATAGAACACAAGTATCTGTAATCAAACACAGCGTTTACATGTCTTCCACTTTCAAAGACTATGTCTCACAGATATAAAAGTGGACAGAGCGGAATTCTTTGGAGTACACACACATCCTTTGATCGATAGCTGGATTTCACGCCTGCGTCAGGGGTGACGTATGTTGTCAAATGCCACATGAACTTTTTATATCCGTGCAGAGATTTTGTCAGCAATCAGTCAGTGGATTAGGGCTGATGGAACTCCCTTTCCCAAATAAGTGATGTGGTTAGCCCACTCCATCACTTCACTGTTTATCTTTCAGCTAGGAGTCTATGTAAGCAATGACTACACACATATCACTAGTGAGAACAATAAGCTACACAAGTATAATGATTCATAAATTGAGTTGCACTATTTACATATTTAGAAAATAAGTGATTACAACTGATTATTTATAACAGTAACAAGAATGTAGGACAAAGGAATTACGATTATCTAAAAAATAGCAAATTAGGGTATTTACAATAACGTATCAGTAAAACCAATGGTAAGGTAATCCAAGGATAAGTTCGAATCCATTCAATGTACACTAATTTAATAAACTAGGTAGTACCATTACCATAGTCCGCGAACACGAAGGCAGTAGCTGCAGACAATATCTCAATAAACGTGCCAAATATAGACCACCACACATACTCTCGGTTCTACTTTGTCACAATTTAGAAAGAGAGTAACAAGTAGATAAGATAAAGAACTCCTCTAAAATGTTAAATGATGTGAATTCTGGAATGGTGTCAAATACGGCGTGATTGGAATCGAGTACTGCCTAAAGATCAGTCAAGTGTCATTTTAAAAAATCAACTAACAGCTGTCTAACGTCTGTGCAGATAAAAATGCAACAGTCAAAATTCACACTGACTAATCAACGGGAGGAACTTCACACAGGTAACACTGGTAATCCTACAAGTTACTTCTGAAAAGAGGACATAAAACTCTTTGCTTGATTGTAAAAGTGAATTATCTTCCCCCAAATGTTTCCAGAAATACTGAGTATACGGCGGTGTCTGGATACGAAATGTGCATTCTGGGAACAGTAAATAACATTTGAGGAAGGCAAAATCTATGCGAAAAAAGTCTCACTTGCTGAATTAAAGCTCGAGCTTCAAAATATACACAAGTGGTCTGAACACTAAGTCCCCAAAAACATGGAAATTCAATATTTTGATAATCCTCATATCTAGTAGGAAACGTTGAAGCACAAGAGTAATACACTAGGATCTGTAGTGCTCAGAAAGTGCATTTGGACTAATACATCCCAAGCATAGTAAAGTAGGGATGAACTAATGGCTTCTGTGCCCCGTCAACGGTGTGACTTTGGAATCCCAGTTATTTATTAGCCCATTACCCTTTCTCTGCACTTATACAAAGGTAAGAATTCACACAGAGTTAAGTATGAGAAAAATTAGCAGGATTATCATGGAAATTTCAAATTAATTCAAATGAGCATTATTACGCCTAACAAATGAATAAAATGTGTTTGATTTTAACAGAACAATAACAGAACCTCATACAACCGATTCCCTTTATTAGTTTGAATAAAGAAAGAACAAACATATTTGCAGGATAATATGAGCTCATTTTATTTCATAGATCCTCTTCACTGCATACATCCTAAACAAAATCAATTATAAGTTATAAAATTTTTAAACATACTTTTTACAGTGACTTCGAGTTGTAGATAGAAAGTATACGTAACATAATTTCAAAGATAATATAAGTAGACAATTATTTAGTGTTAAAAGAGTGACAGTTTATATTAGTAATTAGACAACTGGGTAGAGTTCAGATTTAGCTTGGAAACAAGGATGGACTAGAGACAAAATATAAGATAGAACAACAAGGAATTCACACATATTATAGTGGAGAGTTCAGGCAGGTGGTGGTGTGTAGTTAGTGAAGTGAAATTACAAAATAGATAAAATAATTAATTTAGTACATTTGGAACCTTATCAATGAGTACGACTCAGTAAGTGAAAATCAAAATCAAAATTAAGTGGAATGTTATGCAACAGAACAAAACAATTACGGTTACCACGATTGAACTCACCATGAAACTTCCAAATCAACTAAACTATTTTGTCTGTCTTATAATTTCGCCTCATTATTCACCCCGAACTCACTGAACTCTCCACCATAATAAGTATAAATTCACTCTGCTGTTCTCTTTCTTGTATTTTGTCTCTAGTCCATTCTTGTTTCCAAGCTAAATCTGAACTCTACCCAGTTGTCTTATTACTAATATAAATTGTTACTCTTTTAACAATAAACAATTGTCTACTTATATTATCTTTGAAATTGTTACCTATACTTTCGATCATCGTTCGAGGGTGATATGGAGGAGGTCTTGTGAAGAGGAGATGAAAGCATGTGGGCAGATGTGGAGCCAGATGAAAACGTTGGCAGAGAACCGAACCCAATGGAAACGTGCTGCTGAAGCTCTATGTTTCTCTAGGAATTGAAGGAAACAATAATACTTTCTATCTACAAATCGAAGTCATCGTAAAAAGTGTGTTCAAAAATTTTATAACTTATAATTGATTTTGTTTAGGATGTATGCAGTGAAGAGGATCTATGAAATAAAATTAGCTCATATTATCCTGCAAATATGTTTGTTTTTTCTTTATTCAAAGATATAACACAACCAGTGGTTAGTCAATTTTCAAACCTCTAAAAAATAGTACTAGATGGTGTTTAGAAGGATATACGTGTAAAGTTCATTTATAAACTACACCAAGAAGAAATACATTAACTAAAATAAAACTATACATCAGTTACTCACGAAATGCAGGAAAACATGCGAGATATATGATAAAGCCATAAATTGCTCTCTGATCTAATTGGTCACGCTTTGAATGAACATAAGGAATTTCTATTGGAGATTTCATTTTCTTTGCAATAGATTCCTGTGACAGAATATATAAAGGCATAAGAAAATCAGTTAGTCTAAAACTGAGAATAAATACTAAAGTTAGCTACTTATCCCACTTCAGTGTTATTATTATCAACACCAGAACGCAAATCCCCCCAACAAGACAAACGGAAACACGTCAGGACTAGTTGAAAAAACTGTTTACCTTACGTTACTTTCATTCTAATCAGCGGACAAAGCAGAAAGACAGGGAGAATGGTGATCAGGAGGGTTTTGTGTGCTTTTGGAAATGTGTGGATGGTTGTTACTTCCCGGCTGCTTACACCATGGAAGTTGATTCTTTCTTCGGGTACCTGAAACAGAAACAGAGTAAGTGTTACATGACCTCAGAGCCCAAGGGACAACTTCTTGAGGCCAGTCACACATGGCGTGTATGAATTGGTTTCTTGGATTGATTCCGTACTAGTAACTTACCGCCGGCTACGGACCACCGTAAGGTGAGTCGGGGTGCACAATTTTCGGGGTCAACCTTTTCTAGACCCCTCTCTCCAAAGTGGAGAGACAGTATAGCTGGCATGCTGGTCATCTGAGGGAAACACCTTGCTGTTGTTACATCCCTGTTCTCCAGAAGTATGTAAAAGTGTAAAAAAATTCTTACACTATGCTGGTAACTACTTTTAGCCTAATCGCTATCCTAACTAAGTAGGGACTGCAGCAATACTAGTCCCAGATAGTGTAGCTTGTTGGGTCATTACGATATACAAGCCCGGCCACCACGTCGAGGTAGCAGCTATCGGTCGGGACAAAGCAGAAGCCGGAAAGTGATGAGATGTGAATGAGCTAAATCCATTGCAAGAGGATGCAAAAGCTCTAGAACAATACACTGCCTAAAGCAAAGACATAGGTAGCATATATATATATATATATGCATGGCCCAAATATTGTATATTTGAAGCTTCAATACATAGATATGTGCACAAAACGAATACGCAGAAACAATCCAAACGATAACCGCTGAATGTCACCGCGGTTTTTACCAAGGAGAATTCCTTCATTACTTGGATCTATTTATTCACGACCTTTTTTATCAAATTCCCCCTTTCCAACTTTTCCAATTACGAGATATCCTTTTACTTAATACGCCTATTTTAACTGCTCCGTCGATTCAGAAACTTGACTAATAACATACTTGCAGCGACAAATAATTCCTCAAAACTATGAGTCTATAGCATTCTTAATTCAGCACTAGGTGCTGCCGTGTCATCTTTCAGTCGTTCGTGCACAAGCCATAGCTAGTTAAGCATCCATCATCAATCTGCGTTTCTGATACCAAAATAAACCTAGTATTTTGCAATACTAAACCGTTGCTCTAACGTCTCTGGTCTCAGCAGAACAAGTACTTCGGGGGTTAGAGGATAAACACTTTTATTGTTATACATGGCACTTCATGTAATCGTCAATATCCTTTACCTCCTAAATACTGGTGATTTTACAAATACATTTCTAAGGAAAATATTTTTGTTGTGAAGTAAAAACAAACGCGCAAGAATATAATGGTTTTCTTAAAAGAAAGATCAATGTTTGACTTTCATAACAACAAGTACTTATGTAATTATTATTCGGAAACAATATTTAGTTCCATGCACCGAGAGTTCTGGGCCACCATTTGTTGGTACATCTGAATTTAAGTCTGTAAATATACGACTCAACTGCTATTTAAATGAAAAACTGGGAGTCTTGAACTTAGATAACATATCCTAAACTTCAATACATATATTGCCATTAGCTTTTGCCTGCTGCTGATGGAAACCAAACAAATGAAAGCACGAGAAAAAAACAAATAAATGAAAAAAATTACGTCATGAACAATGAGAGATTTAAATGAAACAACTACGCTACTATTAATAGCAGGAAAAGATTGATGCTCAAGAGCAACTCAAGTATTATCTGTTGTTGAATCCACAGCATTCACATACAAATGCCACTAAAATACATATTTTGCACTGATATCGCCAGTACTCACATATCATGGAACTGAATACCAAAACCGGAGGGAGTCATATTGAATGATAAGTCCCACATCTAAAAAAGATGTGTGAAAACAAGTAAAAATGATTGCTCATTAACCGTCGCTTTCACCGGTTGAGAAATTTTAGACAACAGATTGACTCGATTGGATGATCCCTGTACCTTCAAAGTACATCTTCCAAAATTCTCGACCCATGCCAGAATATAAACGACAACGGAACTTACGGGGAAATTTTCTTGTGGCGACAGATACCATAAATATTAGGGAATAAACCCATTTCTCCGGGTTATATACCTATCAATTCGGAATTGATGAGATAAAAGTAGGTAACAAACCTACAGTACCGGGGACTAACAGTGGTTTGTAGGCTTCAGCACTAACACTATTATGGACGAAATTTTATTTTGATAGTCAGACAGTGTTATACACTAATGTTTACTGATGACGTTTCGAGCGCAAAGTATTGCTCATAATCATAACAAGTCACACACAATTTTTCTACTTCATTTATATACATGAGTAAAAATTGATTAGACATCTGAATAAAATCAATACATGATAAAGTACGTTCGGAAATAGTATGTGTTATCAATAAAATAAGATGGGAGATAAGATGTTTTTATAGTAAAAAATAAGTTATAGTGTGAATTGAATACATTTTAACATTATTTATTGTCCTCTTATTTGACTGGCAATAATACCTTCCATGTCTCTGGCATTTGCGTCGAGCCATTTCTGTTGCATGTGTTTGTTGTAGACTCCATGAACCAGGATTTAGTAATCAATCTCATTCTCCAACTACCTATATTATATTTTATAATTTGAACTCTGTCCCACTTTATTGAGTGGTCGTGTGTTAATGCATGCAGTGCAATTGCTGAGTTTATCTCTAAATTACTCATCTTCCTGGGGTCAATCATCCTAGCCTTAACTAAATTGTTATTTTCTGATTATCTCACTACTCTCGATCTACTAATTTGACCCATGCAGTTGACCTAACAGTCATTGTAAAGTACTTCGTATATTATATTATTTTGTCTAATTGAGTCAACTGGGTCCTTTGACCTACAGAGCTTGGCTCTGAGTGATTTTGTAGGTTTAAATGCCATCCTAATTCCCGCTTTATTAAAAATCCTACGTATGGAGGGTCTCAAATGTTTTCTCCTTATATGGTAGAACTGTAGATGCCTTATATTCTTTCTTATTTATGTTAGTTCTTTCCTCGTACCACTGCTCGGTTCGGTAGACACTTGACTAAGCCTGCATTAAGTTAACGGATCAGATGGATTAAAGTCTAAATATCTATTAGAATGCATTGGCTCTTTATAAAAGCTATTGTGCAGTTTACTTTCTTCCGTTCGCTTTATTTTACAATCTAACATAGCTAATTCTCCATGTTCATTCACCGATTTTACTGTGAAATTTATTCCACTTACTGGGGGGTTTATGTGTGTAGAAGCTAGAGATAACAGTAAAGAATTTGAAGAGTTGCCGCAGACAACTGGTAGATAAAGTTTGGGCAAAAAATCACACGACAGACAATTTAACCACGTGGGCAGTTTTATATTTTCCCTAACCAATAAAAGACACTGAAGAATTTCCTAACCACTTATATCGTGTCAAGTAACTCCTTCTTCAAAAAAGTTTCGAATGCACACTCAACATACCACATGTTGATTTTAGATAGAAAAATAAAAAAGCGACTTACCGAAGACAATCAATGTAACGCAACACTTGAGCACTGCGCCTTGTAGCGTGCATCAGATTTCAGATTTATTGGTTGAGGATAGAAGGCTTGGAGCCTATGTTAATCCTTTTCTAGTAAATTTCTGTGCTTGCCCAAACCCTTCTTAGATTAATCAGTTGAGGTTGCAGACACCACTTCTTCTGAGAGTTGGTTCCAAGAGCTTATGACTTGGCTTTTAAACTTGCCTGCTATGTCCTCTAAGGTGTCCCGACCTGGTAGGAAGAAAAAGAAAGAATACGTCAGGTCCGTAATCATTATTTTAAATTTGAAACATTGTGATTAAATCTCCTCTCTACCTACGGTATCACAGGGAGAAGAGATTTAATTCATTATAAATTATTTACAATGAAGAAGAGATTTAAACTGTCTAATAATAATAATCACTTTATTCCACAACAATAACAATTTACAGCATGGAATTTTCGGCGTTTCATTTTACATATTGCATTGGTTTAGCTCTTTTTAGGAAAAATAAAAAACCCCAACAAAATACACCATTTCAGGTCATAATGAATAATAAATAAAAAATATAACAAATCACACATGCAATAATATGCATCATTACATTTTATAGTTTAGTTAATAATTTAAAAGTTGTAAAAGTTCTTTTCTGATATTCGTCTCTTCACACAATACTCGTGCCAAATATGGTGCGGTCGAATTTTTATATTCTGTAGTACGAGCATAAATGTTTATGAAATTTCTTCTGGTCTTACCCGAAGAGATACAAGGAAACAAATGTGAATAAAGAGGATGTTCACTATCAGACAAGATAACTTTAGCTAAGTGTTTACAAGAATTCATATGCCTATTGATAACAGTGTCGGTTAGTTGAGTCAAAAGGATAGCACTGACCCTACTTACAGCCCTCAATGTTCTTCATAGTATTATATGGTCTTTTTTGAGTAGCCCAGGAAAGAATAATGGAGAACAATAAAGAATGATGGGCAAAACACATGAATAATAAATTGTATGAGAAGAGATTGGGTTATACCTGAGTGCCTCAACTTCTTTATGTAATAAGTCAGACGGAAAACTTTCTTAGAAACTATAAGAATATGAGACGACCAGCTAAGGTTTGAAGAGAAACTAATGCCAAGATAAGAAACACTTGACTTACTCTCTATCATGGTACCATCTATATTACAACAATCATGAGATTGGATCAATCCATGCATGTCTTTTTCACTTCTCAAGCTGAAATCAACAGTATTACATTTAGTTGGATTTAGTTTAAGACCATTTGAGCTAGACCAATCCTTAACTTCAGCTAAGAAGCCATTCATATGGGAACAATCCAATGTGGAAACTACAGGGACAGAAACGGTCAGATCATCAGCATACTTAATGAAGTTAACTTCGGGTGAGTTCGGAAGGTCATGCAAAAAGAAAGAGAAAAGAAATGGAGAAAGTACTGCTCCTTGAGGCACACCACTTTCAGTTAGCTGAGAAGTGTCTAGTCTTTCCTCGTATGATAAGTTAGTCATGCCGTGATCCATACGTGATGCCTTCCTTTGCACCATTTCTAGAATGTTTGAGTCCCCTTTTAGACAAGGACTAGCGGCCTGGATGCAATTTTCCAGTCTTGACCTAGCCAGAGATGTATATAAGGAGGTGAACATATCTCTGGTGATTCTCGTAAAGGCTCTGCGAATTGCCCATGAGTATCTGAAACTTCGTGCAGCCACCGAGCGACAGTGTACTGTAGTCTTTTAGTTTTTAGGTCGTGGCTAACTATGTCCGAGTACCGCGCCTTCTGGCACTCCGCTACTCATTGCTGTCCAAGAAGAGAGTTTCGAGTTGATACTGACCCTCTGACTCCTATCTATGAGGAATTCCCTGAGCCATTTTAGTCAGCTGCCTTTGATACCAAGACTTTCCAACTTCATGAGTAGTCTTTTGTGAGGTACTTTATCAAAGGCTTTTCTGAAGTCTTTGAAGAAAACGTCAGCCTGTCTTCTGTTGTCCCTAGATTAGAACCAGCTTTCTCTTGCACTAAAAAGATTTGACAGACATGAGAGGTTTCTTCGGAAGCCGTGCTGTTCTCCGGATAGTTTTAGTTAGTTTAGTTTTTTTCCTTCGCATCTCCCAGTGGAACATAGGGCTCCAAGCTAGTGGCTTGAAGTTTCTGTAGCAGTGTTTATTTTATTTTACAGGATGGGGTTACTAGCTTCATGCCCAACCTTTCCTCTTCACCGGCATTATTTCTGGCTTAGTGAGGTAAAGGAGTGCGTTGGCTGGGGATCGAACCCCGGACCATGTGCACGGTCGGCAAGCGTCCTAACCGCTATGCCACCGACGCATAGTTCTCCGAGTAACTTCTTTATATTCTCAAGATATGCCATGATGCTTTTCTTGATGATTCTTTCCAGTGTCTTGATTAATGTTCTAGTGAAGCTGGTAGGCCTGTAATTGGAAGGATTTCGTCTTGATCCTCCTTTACGGAGGGGGATTACTATGGCGTCTTTCCAGTCACGCGGTAACACTCCATTTAGGAGAGATAGCTTGAAGATGGTGGTCAAAGGGCCGGCCGTGTCAGCTGATATCTCCTTGGTAAGCCTTGGGAGATGTAGTCTGTCATTGCTTCTGCTTTTTCTTGATCTTCTTCTATTGAGTCACCGTCAACAGTCAGGTTTGGGACACCACTGGATGTTTCATTCCTGAAGTAGATCTGCGAGGAGATTTTCTTAGGTTGTGTCTTTGCATTTTGAGCCAGGTGTGCTTCGAATTTCATCCTTGATTTGCGGATTTCTGCAATAGCTTTATTTCTAGCAGTGTTATATAATTGCCTGGTCTCAGAAGTCTCAAGTGTGGCAAACAAGTTCCAACATTTGTGTTTACGTCTAAGTAACTTACGAATCTCTCGGTGTATCCAAGAAGGGCAGTGTTTCCGACCCTTTGGGACAGACCAAGGGATGAAAGGTTCAGTTACTTGGGCGTAAAGTTGTTTAAATTGGTTCCATGCGGCTTCTACTTGAGACTTTGGGTTGATGTACCAGTTTACTGAGTTGGCTGCTGAGACGATGGCATTTGTATCAGCTTTCCAAACGTTTGGTCGAGATGGGGTTTTGGCCCTTGCTACTGTTGCCGTGAACTTGAAAGTGAGCACAGCATGATCACTTCTTCCTAAAGGAAGAAGATGTTGTATGAGATCCACATCCTCACCATGGGAGAGCACTAGGTCCAGAGTTGAAGAGGAGTCATAGCGCGTGGACTTAATGATATGTTGGACTAGGGCTAACGATATGCTAGATTCCAGCAGTTTATGATAGAAGCATTTGTCTGAAGATGGAGTTGTTAGGCTCGTCCAGTCAACTGTTGGGGCGTTGAACTTGTCGACTTCGAGACTTCGACATTTCGAAGTCCAGGAGCCTATTTTCTCTATCAGGATGTCATCTGCACTGCCACCTCCCTAGCGGTTTAGTCGGTCCACCCTATGCACTTCGAAGCTTCGCAGGTTAACTTCGTTGTCAGTGACATCGGGTGTGAGCCATGTCTTTGTAATCATGATTTCATCCGGGTCTTCAGTCCGTTTGTTCAACAGGCTGTGGGCGTTTGTGTAGCAAACTGTCAGTTCAGTTTGGTACTTCCCCGGCCTACCCACAGAGGTTTCGGGATCATCAAACTGCGAACTCGGACAACCCGAAAACCCCCTAATCTTAAGGTTCTTTTCGCCGTTCCGGGTCGTCCGCTTAATTTTAGGGCCGCAGACTGTCTTTTGACACGGTCTGCTAGGTTTAAGTTGGCACGGACATATATGCCTGATCCTTTAAGAATTTGAGAGTTGCTTACAATGGAATCAATCTCTTCCTTGGAGTTTAGTATGACCTTGAGGAAACGTAAAGGCTGATTTACTATAGGGTTAGACTTTTGGCTGATTATATATACGCTGTGTATTGTTGTGCCTGATACTGTTTTTGGCAGTAGCTTATCTATAAGGGGTTTGACCGAGTTTAGGTAATGCTCTAACATGACCTTGGGATTGGAGGCAGATGATTCTTCCACCTGTCAGAAAGATCACGTTTTCTTATGGTGGCTTTCTTGCCCTACGGCGTAAATATCCTTCCGTCTTTAACTGGCAGTGTGGCCAAAATGTTTTCCTTCTCTCGCCTTTTGCGAGAGACTACATTACGCCATTCACTGGCGACCAACTCGCTAATCGCAGTCGATTTAATCTGCCTTCTGTCCACTGGTGTGGGCGAAGCTTGATCTTCAAGCCCCTGGGCGACTTGAGCTGCGGGTTTTCGATCCCTGGCATGCCTCTTCTTCATGCTAATCTTTCCATTACTGTCACTGGAGGGCTTATCTGGTATCGTAGGGGCAGCATGGATGTCTGGAACATGGTGGGTGCTCTTCTGCGCCGAAAGGCACTCACTCATTGATAGAAACGCATCGGGAACACGTACTGTTCTGTCGATGGCACCGATCACGTCATCGGTGTCCGAGCAATAGTTACTCCTCTCCTCTGTCGGAAAACCCTTGCAGTCCAGGGGTTTTACAGCCCCATTGAGAGTGACAACGGCTTCCGTTATACAAAACCTAAACGCACTTCAGCAGTCATTGCACAGCCAGTTCGCCATAGGTTTGCAGCAGCGTTTGTATGCTGCAGGCGTTAGGTTTGTGCACATGCTATGAAACCATCTCTTATAGTTATCACACTGCATTCCTTCTTCAACTGGATATTGGCACGTAACGCTTCCACAACGGTCTAGGAGGTACTCTAAGCAGACACCGGGACGTAAATCATATGCACATAACAACATGCCGATCACACATTTCGGTTATAACTATGCGGATAACACGGCTTTCGCTAACTCATATGACCAAACTTTTCCCCAGTGACAACTGGCAGAAACGCCAGGGATCATGCACGTAGTGTAACAACAGAAGACAAGGGCCAGGCAACAGATCAGTTTTATTACGAAAACCAACAGGTATTTATATGTATTTTACGTACATTAATAGGCTTCTGCCCGCAGAAAGAAGACGGTCTTCTGATTGGTTGTTTCCAAACAAACGCAGTCTTCTGCTTTCTCGTTTCCGATATTTCTCGGAAATGCGAGCCACTTGTCTGCGAATCATATTTGTCCACGTCTAGGTCAGCTGTGATCGGTTGTTGAATCAGCCTAGATTAATTTCTACCAATCAGCGTAGATCAATGTCTACCAATTGGCTAGCAGCTTGCTCTCACCACACTCGTCCCCCCGTCAAATAGCTTGGACTGAAATCGGCTCGGTCTTCTCGGTTCTTGGGGCTTTGCTCTGTTGTCTTGCTGTCTGGAATCTCGGCGCTTGCGGATGTCCACTTGTTTAACGGTGTTTACCATTGCGATTGTGTCTGCGTAACCCCATCTCAACGTGACCATATATGGTCCTTCCCACTTTGGAAACTGTTTGCCTGACCCTGTCGCACATTCGTAGGTATTTCGCCTCACACTTCCATATGCTGCTTTCTCCCGACCTCCCAGCAGCGTCCCAAGTAGCAGCCTCATCGCTGACAGATCTTGAACGCTACTCAACTGCGAAGAAGCCTCGAAGTCCTGCGCGAAGATCCATATGTCTCCATCAAAAACTGCAGGGCATAAGCTTTCCATTTGTCGGTAGGCAGCGACACCAAATGTAACAACAGAAGACAAGGGCCAGGCAACAGATCAGTTTTATTACGAAAACCAACAGGTATTTATATGTATTTTACGTACATTAATAGGCTTCTGCCCGCAGAAAGAAGACGGTCTTCTGATTGGTTGTTTCCAAACAAACGCAGTCTTCTGCTTTCTCGTTTCCGATATTTCTCGGAAATGCGAGCCACTTGTCTGCGAATCATATTTGTCCACGTCTAGGTCAGCTGTGATCGGTTGTTGAATCAGCCTAGATTAATTTCTACCAATCAGCGTAGATCAATGTCTACCAATTGGCTAGCAGCTTGGTCTCACCACAGTAGCATGCATGATATCAGACCAATTCCTTGCTGGCATAGTGGACAGCTCACAACAGGGAAGCTGCTTCTTCTCCGGTAGATAGCAAACACCTTATACACACCTAATACTAACAGTAATACTCTAGATTATCATACTAGATCTATAGTATTACTGCCGAAACCGTCTCCTCAGTTACAGACCATTTCTTCAGCTCCCGAATTCGATTATGCCAGCAGAGGAAAGTACCTTGCCCCATCTATTAACAGTAAACCTATTCGTCTTCATTTGGATACAGCATCAGATATCACCCTAATTTCACGCAACACGTGGCGCATACTTGGGTGCCCACAGACGCTTCTGAACGAGCAAATAGCTAGGAATGCTTCTAGGGATGAGGTAAGGCTCATGGGTGAGATCGGCTGTCATATTCAGTTTGCTGTGTGTCAATTCAGTCGTGCATGTTATCTCACATGTCATTATGATTTGAATTTGCTCGGCCTTGACTGGTTGGAAAAGCTCAATCTCTCAAATGTTCCATCTAATTCGGTGTGCTTTAAAATTTCACCTGGGCAACATGATATCATTTCAATACACGCTTCAGGTACATCTCCGCTGCAACACTCGTATCGAAGGCATCCTGCAGTCTCTTGGGAAAAGTTTAGTTGCTGCAAGTTTAGTCAAACATCTTCGACTTTGTAGCCGAGCGATAAGCTAGTTTTCCATCTGCCCAACTCGACAATCATCCCTGATCCTATGGACAAGGTGAACTCTTCGTCAATACCTCTAAGCGTGTTTGCAAGAAAGCGAAGGGGGAGGGAGAATTGAGAGAAATCTTAGATTTTTGCTGCCTTATCATACGGCAGCCAATACTTCCGCCCCAAATAAGTTATCTCCGGAAGGATTATATTTGGTCTAAAGATTAAAACTTCTCTAAACAGATTCAAAAGACAGTCCTACACCTTTTACGGGGGGTTGATGGGATCCCGCACAAGGAAGTATATTATCGTTTCCCACACATATTGTCATTGATTATGCTATCAGTAATTTCTCAGGCATATTAAGACTTGTGTGTTGATGCTGTTTGTTGGTTATCTTCATCATCTTCGTCATCTTCTCTATGTTCACCTGGAGTCCTGTATTCACTGCCTACCTCTTCAGCCGGTTTGTTTGTTTTCGCCTGTAAGTCTTCGAGTTTGTGTGACACTAAACATAAATCATCCACGCGCGACATCCAGATCTTCTAGAGTCTTCTTATCGGTGGTCCAGCGTATTCCTATCTTCTCACTCTCACACACAGTCGGACGCATAATCCAGTCAGTCCACAACATTTATGAAAGTCATTGGCAATATTAGGCAGCAAGCCTTGTCTTTCTCCTGTATTCACTTTGAACGCCTCACTAAGTTTTCCGTTGTGGATCACCGGACACGTAGCATTATCATATAGTGGGCTGTTGAATGAGGTTGGTAAAGACTTTGGCACTGCGCGCCGTAGTGTTCAAGTATTTTCCGAATTACCTGTTGGTCAACGCTGTGTGCCGAAGGTCTTTTTAAAGTCAATGGAGTTGAGGCAGAGAGAGATTTGATTGCCATTCTATGCATTGTCCGAAGACGATGAATAGTGTTGCAATTTGATCATCACATGATTTGCCTTTCCTGAATACAGCTTATTCTTTTTGGTTGGTGAAGTTCTGTATCCAGTGCATCCTTCATTCTCTTAGGGACGATACGACTCAGTATTTTACTTGGTGTGGAGAAAAGCATTATTTCACTCCATTTCTTGCTCAGGTTTGGATCACCATTGGCAGCTTGACGAGGTAGCCTTTCTTCCAATTGGTAGGTACTTCTCATTTTTTCCAAACCTTTTGCAGTAATGCCGAAGTCTATGGGTCCATTTTCGATGAATCGTGGGGAAATCACATCTGGTTCTGCTGCCTTTCAGAACCTCAGTAGCTTGATCGTGCTTAGGATTTCTGCTTTCATTGGAAGATTGGTGTCCACTGGTAGTTCCGCGCGTGCTGTTGGTGACAGTTTTGGAGAGTTGCAGGTGATGTTCGATTCAAGGAATAGTTTGTTAAATTCATTAGATTAAAGTTAGAAGTTTTTGTGCACATATACACCTACACAAAATATCTTCATTTAACTGACGACTTCGTTTATGTGATCATCGTTATCTCACAGTGGTTAGGACTCTCGCCGACCATGCACATGGTCCGGGGTTCGATCCCCTGCCGGCGCACACCCGATATCTATGGTCGGGCTGAATTTGGGCAACCGATATCCATGCTGAAAATTCCATACTTGTACTGAAAATACGGTGTGGAATCAAGCTGTAAATCAAAAAAAAATTATGTTTGTGAGGTGCAGCTCCGAGAAACCTTTATTACTTTGACATAAGTATAGAACTTGGGCACAGAGGTAGAGTATAACTCCATCATGGATAAGATTTTATTTTGATAAAAGACACAGTGATATACAGTAATACCAAGTGATGACGTCGTTATTACTAATTATTATTATATATTACTTTTTGAAATATTTTTAATAACGGAGATAGAGAATTCTATACCTATGATCTTTTTACAGTAATCTGATCGTTGTACAATTGTGTTTTATTGTCTAGTAACCGATTTCATCTATTCGATTGAATACGCAAGCCATACGCGAGATTGAACGAAATATGTTTGTTTTACTGCATGAAGGTGACGGGGTCACTTCAAAATCTGAGAATGTCGTCCATTCTTGGCGTCCCAGCAGTTGTAAATCGTGGTACGTTCATCGACATGAGTTGATATTAGCTTGAAATCCGAGATACCAACAATTTCTCTGTTTTCCGCCACAGATACACATATTTCATCCCTAGTCGTTCAGAGTCTATAGTATAATTGAAGGGTCAGCGCAAATAATGAAATTTGTCTGAAAATTTCTCGTACATTTTGTCGGATAATTAGTTTCTCGAATTTGTAATGGCGTTATTTTAACTTGATTTCGACCTATGTAACGTTTAGCTGCTGATACGTTTAATGCCTTTCACAATGCCTGTGTACGTATATGTGCGTCGGTGGCACAGTGGTCAGGACTCTCGCCGAACATGCACATGGTCCGGCGTTCGATCCTCTGCCGACGTACACTTGATATCTATGGTCGGCCTGCAAAATGTGGGCTACCGATATCCTTGCTGAAAATTCCATACTTGTACTGAAAATACGGCGTGGCATCAAGTTGTAACCGAAATAAAAAATTTTAAAAAATTCTGAGCCCTCATCGACTACTTAGAATTTATATAGTTCTAACTCTTTCTGAGTTGCATGCACATTCTGCAAGTTGAGACGCACTAATGTCATTGTTGTTGGTGCTAATTTGTGGGTCCTCACCAGCAATAACGCATTTCCTGTGTCATTAACAATTTCCCTCAGTTAACTTTGCGCTGTTTATAGTACAGTAAATGAAATACCTTATGTCTTTTGGGATTAGTTTTATTATATATTAGTGGGACATTACGGTCAATTGGCATCTCATGCATGCTGATTCTATCGAACGAATCAGGTGTTTTGCAGAGTAACATTAATTTAAGGACTGAAACTATAATCTCAGTGTTTTTTGTTTTTAGAGTTCTTGCGATGTATATATATTCCACTTTGTGATTGAGATTGACAAAAGCTAAAAGCTCTAGCGTTTTGTGCACATGTTGTGGGTTGTAAAGTCATGAAGAAATGGCAAATTATATAATCATTTGTGAGAGTTGCGATAAATAAATCACACTACATGTTCTTCTATTCACTTCAGTCTTACATTTCTAGAGACTAAAATTAGTTATCACAGTGTCTCGATTGTTGCTAATTATGGCACTGTACTGTTGCGAAAGTAATAGTGACTTTCAATTGTGTATTTATATGGTATTTGTTCTGGTTGCAACTATGTGATACACAAACTGAAGGTAAACATTCAGAACCTCTAAAGTTGTAGGTAAAGCAAAAACTACTCCATTACTGCTTTTTAACATTGTCCTGAATATGTAGGATAGTGACGTGAGCAGTGTACAGGCTAGTGTTCTTACATAAGACAGGTAATTCAATCAAGTTCTGTAAGGTTTCTTCTCCTGAACTGTGACGTACTAAACATTCCCAATATTCATCTTGAAGGACTGTTATTGAGAGTAGAAATAGGTATAAAAGCCAGCGTTTAGATAAGTTATAAATAATTCACTGGTAAAATTTCCCTTCCCCCATTTCTATGTGGAATAACTAATTCCAGAAATGACATTAAAACTAGGGATGTGTTTTAAAAGTCATAAGTCACATTAGTGCTGATTGGTTTGGTTCTGAGGAGGTTTGATAAACCTATGGGAAGAATTTTGCAGTCAATTAGCATCACTTATAGAAAAATTTGTCCTAGTCGCACTACAATTTGGGTAATTAGTTCACTGTTTTCGTTTTTTTTAACCACATTCCCTTTGGAGCATTATGAAAGACAACTAGAGTTTATGTGGCAATTGTTTATGTTTCCCATCTAATAAGAACTTCATTGTGTCAGGAACTAGGGGCTCTTCTTGCTCACCATTACTGCCACAGTATATGAACGCTCTGGTTGACATTTTTTTTCAAGGATGCAACCGTTGAAAATATTCTGCTTCTTTTGTCAAGGTACTCGACCACTATTCAGTCAACCGTAGTTTAAAACATCGCCAAATAATACCAGTGAGAGTTACATGGTAAATTAGTTCATTTAGTGTGTATATACACATGATTGCTAAGTAACACTAGGGCTAAAACAAATTTAGGAAGTTGTACTAAATAGTTGGCAGCAAAGACGGTTCACAACAGTGAATTTCGTTGTGGTATAGGTCAACTGCGTACGTCTATGTGGAACAATTCAATTGAGCCTCAAACTTCAGTTAAAGTGGCTCTAAGCAACGTAAAATGACCATGAAAAGGAAAAAGTAATGGGTTCCCACCAAACTTTTGGATAGATTGTTTACTAGTTCAGGTTTGAAATTGAAAAATAGTTCTGTCGAGTCACAATCGTTAGTCGTCAGCGGTTATTAAAAATTACAGATAAACAATATGCTCTGGTGGCTGTCATAACGGCAGTAAAAAGACAGTAATTTTGTTCATTGGCGTATTTGTTGTCGTGATCAGCTGAAAATGCGCTTATGGTTTTCTGGTGTTTAAAATGCTCATTAGCGAGAATGTAGCAACTGACTTTGTTACTGTTTCAGCAAAAGGAGTATCCATCATGCTTCATCTTTTTGGGATCTTCTTAGGCCTTTCACATCTATCAAACTGTCCGTTAAGCTGCTTACGTGGAATGGTTTTCTTTATTAATTTTTCTAGTTTTCATAAGCAAGGTGGATTTTCCATTCTGAATTTTATCTCAGTTAAGGGTAAAATATGCATGTCAAGTGACAATGAAAAATGAACTGGCTGACCGTTATGTGAAGTTTGTTGACTAAGTACTTCAACCATTACATCACCACATTTAACTGACTGCTCTGGAGATGTGGCCTCAATATTTTAGTAGTGTGTACTTTCTTCACTTCAGGTTTGATTTTATGCATTAATTGTTCTTCACAAGTATTTTGAAAGTAATCCCACTATGACCAAAGCTTACATATTACCAACACTCCTTTCTGCAATTGAAAGTGTTCTCTGGGCTGGTTGGTTTAGTTGCGAAGCTAAATATCGCACTGAAGATATTGTTTAGAAGGACGACGAAAGCTTCGCAACTAAACCAACCAGCCCAGAGAACACTTTTAATTGCAAATCATCCACCTGAGCTACAAATGTTCTCTATTATTTCAAAACACTCCTTTCTGTTACTTATTAGCAGATCCGAATCCTTACTTTTCTGGTCAGTTAAGACATCACAGTTCAGACTGTGCTACTGAAAGCGTTGGTTATCGAGGAACTCCCTACAATTCAGTAAATGTTTCATCTACCCGTGATGTAACACACAGTCCATTAACCTCACATCTGGCGTCCAAAGATTCACTTCCTATATGCACTGGATGCAGACGTAGCATTTCAGACCAATATCTTTACCGTATTCATGGCTTGGCTTGGCATGAATCATGTGCGGTTTGCTCAGTATGTTCATCAGAACTTGTGGAGGTATGCTTTATTGTCAATAAAAATGAGTTATTGTGCCGCAGAGACTATGATCGGTGAGTCGAACCTTTACAAAATTTTTTTCTTTGTTTGTAATCCAGCATATCTACATTTATAGTGAATAAATATTTCTTAGTTGACGAATTCCAGTGGTACTTTTTAAATTTGGTGGTTGTCAAACCTGAAAACTTGAAAATTCTGTCGTATTTCAGTGCCATTTGAAATCCTGGAAATCAAGTTTCTGTTTTTAAATGACAGCTGTGACACATCTACTACTGATATCTGTCTAACGATAAATATTTTTTAGTTCACATTGGAAGTGGTTTCTGTGTTTAGTGGTTCTGCAAACATGAATATCTGTCGGCATTTCAATCAAAGCGTAATTTCTAGTGCAGCATAAAAATAAATTTGATTCGTCTAACAAGCATGTGTAAAAATAACTGCTGTCTTGAAAGTACTGCTAGTCGGTTTGACCATTCGCCCTTGAATTAGAAGTTCCAGAGTTAAAGCTGTCACTCCATCTGTTTCACTTCAGGCAACTAAGCTGAATAGTTCGCTTGCAAACATCAAGTGTAGCCTGTAACCCAAATTGTATGGCTACAGTTTTTGTATTTATCTGACTTATTTGCTTCTATTTATATTCTAGATCTTTCAGTGTTTCGTATCATCTAATAAGTTTTAGTTATCGTTATTATCACTAAGAAGCAAACTTGGTGCCTTATAGATACCAAGAGTTGTGCTACATTAGCACACTGTGCGTGGGCTGCGATTCTACCCAGATGCCCAGACCGAAACAGGTAGCTGTCTTAAAGAACCACCGCGAACCTTTGACCTGAAGTCTGATCCACAAGACCGTGAAGCAGTGCCAAGAGCTGCGTTCCCATGGTTTCCGGTGACCAAAACAGGTTCATACGCCATTCGACACGTTCTCATTCTGGAGTCCATATGCACCTTAGGTTTGGAATCAGAGTTTTCCAGCTCCCATAGGTGGATGTCCGCCAATCTGGTTGTAACCGCCAAATGTTCGTATTCATTGATATAAGTATAAAACTTGGGCACTGTGGTAGAGCATAACTCCATTATGGATAAGATTTTATTTTGATAAATCACTGTTCTTATTCACCCTTTCATTTTCGTGGGGAAAACCTCCATCACGCGAATGACTTATCTGCAAAAGTTTTAGTCGAAGGAAACCTGCTCACAGCAGTTTAAGTACTGCTACCTCCTCACATTGTCACATATATGTATAATCAGCTATGTCGTTGGGTAGAAATAAACCGATCAGAGATTAGAAGAGCATTAAAAGAGGGATTATATGATGAAATAAGCATGCAGGTTGACTTCAGTTTGTGTCAAATGTTGAGTGCCGGGTAGTATTGTTGGCTTTCTTTTTCACGGTGTTTTCAGACTAAAGTACAACTAAAGTGGAAGGTAGTAGCTAGCTATGCTTTTATCTCTCTGTTGATCCCACTAATCTAAGGTTTAGAAATCACTCAGTCTTTCATTTTTGTTATTGAAAACTGTTTAGCCTTTATGCAACTAAATGTGTGAACTGTCGGCAGCCAATGCGAAGCCATGAATTATTTATGCGTGCAAAACACTCAATATCACTGACAAGAAACTCATCTAATCAAATTGCTTTGAACTCTTCAAGTCAAGAACTAATTTTCCATGTCTCCTGTTTTACATGTTGTATATGTCAACAACCTATAGCAGCTGGTGAGGCATATATTATTGATCCAGTCACGTGTCGACCGATATGTCGTTCAGATTTTCTCACAAAACAACAACACTTCCAACAACAACAACAACAAGAACTGAATTCATCTACTCTCATTAATAATAATACACATGTTGAAATAAACGATAACCAGATGTTATCATCTACAGAGTCATCGTCATCATCATCGTCTCGGAATTGGCAAGGATATAATAATGGACGAGATTGTGAACAAATGCATCAGCCTTTATCGAATATTTGCTTATCTAGTCAACAAAATGAATGTGACAATGATATTGAATTGATGAGTAATAAAACTGATTGGCCACCTAATCAAAACCATCTTGATCATAGTTATAATTCATTGAATAGTAGTGGAGGATTCGGTTCAATGAATCGACGTATACGAACTTCACTCACTGATGAACAGCGTTATCGACTACAAGAAGCTTATGAATTAAATGTTCGTCCATCGAAAAGTGTAAGTCAATTATCTATTCCGTATTAACGTTCTATTATGTAGAAGTAGTAGTAGTATTAGTTATTGCTTTGTTCATTGATTTTGACTTCTGAGCAATTAATCAGTTAGATTGCTTCAACTCTAGACAATTAGATAGTGTTATAAAATCCCAGTTACTAAGTGTACGTATGTAGGCTGTCAAAAATTCGTCCCCATAACTTATAGTTTCATATGATGTAAGTATTGAAAAAGAAGTACTTATGACAGTCCTTGAGATACTTTATGTTCAGATGGCACTTTTGCTGTATTATTCAAATCCTTTAAAATTTATGTAACTTTATTTGGATAACATTCGATATGATTAATTCTTCAATGAATGCTTTATAAACTTGCTCTAAATGCAGTCTCTGACAGATATAGACAGACACATCTGATAGAGGGTTATCATTTCGAAAAAGTAGACAGAGAAATAGTCATTATAAGTTAAAAATGTGTGGGATGAGTTAGTTAGCCTCGTGTAATATCCAGCCACCTGTAGAAGCGGCGTTAAAGAGATTTTGGAGGACTGTGGTGACGAATTGTTGTCTAGGTTAACTAAAATATTAAGTAATGTCTAGGAATCAGAGACAGTTTGGCTAGACTGGTGTAATTCATTGCTTATCTCAGTTTAATGTCTTCATGTAGTGGTCATAGGGGGATAAGCTGGACTACTATGGTATTTAGTATTCTAGGTTCAATAATCACTCGTAGACTATGTGCTTCTCAGGAGAAAGAAACCCGCGAAAACCAGTTGGGTTTCAGACGAGGAAGAGTGTATTAATCGTATCTTCACCCTTAAACGGACTATTGAACAGGCACACTTATCGGCGCCCAACAGTTGTCAAATTTCGTGACTTGTTGGAGATACTCGACTTCGTCGATCTAGAGGTACTGTCGCAATGAAGTGAGTGACGAGAACATGTATCACACTAATCAAGGTATTCCATCCAAACTCATGCAAGTGTACGAGTTTACAGAGTTGTGATTTGAAGTGATGCTGACGGTCCCCACTTGTGTTTAATTTCATCATAAATATACTGATGGATATGATCCTAATTGACTTTGGCGACTTGATGATTGACCCGTTACCAGTGAACAGTCATATTCACTTAAATGATACTGTCCTCCATGGTGAAGATACTGATAAAATGCAGAATCTTCTGAACACCTTGAACAGAAACCTTCGAATGTTTGGCATACGATCCACTCCTGTCAAATATCAAGTGATGCTGCAGGACTGAACTACACCGACTCCTAGCTTAAAGATAGAGGATGCAGTAGTAAAGTGTGCTGATCACTTCATTTATTTGGGAAGTTGCATCAACCCTAGTGGACCGATTGCTAACGAAATCTCAACACGGATACAAAAGGGTCGTTTAGTATTTGCCTATTCATTCCCATAATCATAATTATAGAACACGGCATAAGCCAGCAAATACGTATTTTCGGTAAATTATCATCAGGCTGTACATTTACACAATGAAATATCAGTCAGAGGCATTTGGAATAATGTGATTCATAAAATATGGATGCATGTTGTCATTAATAATATTATTATTAAGTATGTGGGGAAATGTAAAAATAAGATAAATAATAATAGTAGTGATAGTGATAGTAATAATAATAATATTAGTGACAACATGTATGTCAAACATGCGCAAGATAATGACAACACCAACAATAAGGAATCTAAATCATCAGTAGTACTTCCATGCAAAGAAGGAACCTCGGAAACCTTACGCAGAATTCTTAACAAGGTGGCAATGAGAGTGGCTGGCATTCAAACCGCCCACCGACTCAACTAGAAAGAAGCTTTGTCGGTTAAAGGATCCCGCCAGTGGAGCCAATAAAACAAAACAATTTTGTTTATCTAATACTCTGCAGGAATGAATGTCAGGTCAAATACATAGGTCAAAGTAGTAGAAAAGGTGCAGTCAGACTAGGGGAGCATAAAAACCTAACAATATCTAGATTAGTTGACCCGAATAAGATAAGAATCTAGAGAATAGTTCAGTTATAGCACTCACTACATGCAATTACACACAACCATACAATAGGATGATGGGATACGATGACACTTTTAAAATCTGATATGACAGGGTGGAGGGAGAGATTGATAACAAGGGAAGCTTTGTTTATCGAATCAACTGCGAACACATGTAATAGGAATGATCCAACACCTGTCCGAGATAACTGGAAAATTCTACTACCCCAACGACGGCAAATATGAGAAAACAAAGAAAACTATAAAACTCAGGTTTCGAAGTCGTGTGATTATAATTGATATGATTATGAACAATAAATTTTGTTCGAAACCTTGTCATCCAGTAAATAATACTGTTTCTTCACTGTGTGATATATCTAATAAACAAACTAATGTGGAATTGCTTACTACCACAGTGATCAAGTTTTACACATATAGGAAGATGAAAGCGTATGGAAAATCGTGGAGCCTACTTCAAGGAACAGGATGAAATGAGGTGTGCTGTTGAAGTCTCAAGTCCCGCTTGAAATCTGGGATAATAATATAAGCCTCATTGTCTGCCATAACATGTACTTCAAAGTATAACTTTTCTGTATTTCACTATCCGAGTGTTGAAGTATTATGAGATTACTTAGAATACAAGGACCTGTTATTGATAGTGGACAATATCGTGCTACCGGCCTCATTCACTAAAATATTTCATAATTCTGTTGCCTTTTTCATATAGTTTAATTGTTTAGAATTCTTATCCTTTCTGTGATTCAGTTCTGCTCTATTTGCTGTATTGTTTAACTAGATGCGTGAAGCATTGGCTTCAGAGCTAGGTGTACCTATGCGGGTTGTGCAGGTATGGTTTCAAAACCAGCGTGCACGTGATAAACGAGCCTCTACTTTTGGTCGTGATAAATCATCATCTATCCCACTTGTGAATAATCCTCATCAACATGAAAGACAACAATTACATTTTGAAGAACAACAATCCCACCATCAAAATGAACAACAATCCTCCGATCTGTGTCCTTTTACACCATCCCCACATACTTCTGTTGAAAGTGGTGAGTTGAGTTTCATTTTATTATGTGTGAATGGCATTCATATTGAAATCAATATTATGATTTGAGAGCATATACTTTATAAAAATGATGAGCATTTACTGTTATGTTTACAAATAATGCATAGTAAAACGCCTTAGTAGTGTTTGTGACTGATCGTAGAAACTATGTGGGTATTTGATTAATTCTGCATTGCTCACTGACCACTTTCGTTAAAAAAATATTAACTGACTCCGTCTAGTAGCCATGTGTGATAAAAAAGCAAAGTTTGAAGTTTAAGTCGCCAGTTTATTCAGTGTTTTATGCTCATGTTTGATGATTTTTATATACTGGTTTTTGGAAATATCTCATGTTATAAGTATAAAACTTGGGCACTGTGGTAGAGTATAATTCCATAATGGATAAGATTTTATTTTGATAAATCATACAGTGTAGTACAGTTATATTAACTGATGACGTTTCGAGCACAAACTATTGCTCATAATCATATCAACTTGATATGATTATGAGCAATAGTTTGTGCTCGAAACGTCATCAGTTAATATAACTGTACTACACTGTATGATTTATCAAAATAAAATCTTATCCATTATGGAATTAATATCTCATGTGTGTCCTCTCTGTGATGTTGTTGACATGTAATGGTAGAATTATGGCAAGAGGACTATTATTTGGTTAGTAAAAGATAGTCTTGTGACCTTTGTAGGTTGAACACACCTACTTACTACTGGAGTAACTTATATTTTATTTTGTATTCCTATTTATTCCATTGTGTTCCAAATTGAACATGGAGCTTTAAACTTGAGCTTTGAATTTTCAGTAGCAGTTATTAGGTTGCTAATCTGATGCCCAAACTTCCTTCTTCGCTAGTTTTACTACCGGCTGAGAACAGTTTAGGTGTGTCGGCCTCGAGTCGAACCATGGACCACTTGCATGGGCAGTGAGTATCCCGCCACCGAACCACCGACTCTCTCAGTAACTTCTATGCCATACACTAAAATTTGGTGAAAAATACTAAGATATAGTTAATCTGTGATGCATTGTTGTGGAATAAGAGAGTTATTAGATTTGTAATGTATTGGACACCCAGTGAAGAATTCTTTCGATGACATTGCGCACCAGCCCCCCGAGTGGAATCGAAATTCGAAACGAGTCGGGCGTCTGAGGGTGACATGGAGGAGATCGTGTGAGGAGGAGATGAGAGTCTATGAGAAATCGTGGGCTCAGCTGAGGGGGACTGCAGAGAACAGGACAAAGTGGAGATGTTGGAGCTCTGTGTTCCATTCGCAACCCACAGGGATAATAATAATATGCATATCATCCTACCAAGTTTGTGATTCAGTGACGTAATAAACTTGCATTACCCTTCATTACCATAATTTCTTTCACAAAATAGTATATGAAAACTTAATGTAATAATTTTCCAGTCAGTATTACTTTGGGCTTCTTACTTTTTAATTCTTCCCACTGTTGTTACGTCACGGTGTGGCGATTTTCTTGATTCCACACAAACTGTAAGTACCTTTTGCAATGTCTTCTCTCTCTCTCTCTCCCTATATATATATATATATATATATATATATATATGAAGGGTGATGAGCAGGAAAGCGTAGTGTGCTTGCAGATGTGAGCGATTATTTCTTCCCTGCTGCCCACACCATAGAAGTTGATTTCTTCGTGGGGTATCTAAAACAGAACGAGCATTAGTGTCGCTAAACCTCAGAGCCCAAGGGATAAAACTCCCCAAGACCGGTTCGTTGGAGTTTTTTCTAAGTTTAATCCGTATTCAGATCTCAGCCGGCTACAGGTCACCTCAAGATGGGTCAGGGTGTACAATTTTCGGGATTGACTTTTCCTACCTCTCCCTCTCCCCAGAGCAGCCTACTGGTTGTCTAAGGAAAACACCCTACCGCTGTCACATCCTTATTCATCAACAGTACAACTTCTCCCACAAACAACTTACATTATTATAGTAACTTTTTAGTATAATTGCTATCCTGATAGGTTTTCTAGCATAGAAGAACCTTCAGTAGCATTAGTTGCAACCAGTGTAGCTCGTTGGGTCATTGCAATTTATAAGGCTGACCACCATATAAAGGTAGCAGCTATCAATCGGTCTTTGTTATATTATGAAATCATTGCGTAACAGTGGTTTTACTTTATATATATATATATATATATATATATATATATATATATATATATATATAGGTGTTCTTAAGCCTTTTTTGTCTATTGTAAGTAATATTTATATTATAGTGTGTTATTTAAGCCTTTCAGAGGTATTTTTGTGTTTAGTTTAAGCATTGTTGTGTGTATGTGTGTGTGTACGTGTTTTGGTCAGGGTATACACATCTACCCAATTCTTTCTTTCGTACTATTCATGTGATAAGGTTACAACTGTCATTGTTATTAATACAACAACAACAACTACTACTACGAATACTATGACCACTTAATTAAATGATCATTTTAACTGTACATGTTTATCAAGGCACAGAATAGATGTGCGAGACAAATGTACTATAATAGCGCACACGTTCATCCATTGTTAATACTGAAAGAATGCAGCACTTTATGATAACATACAAATCTACTATTCTGCAACCTAAGCATTTACTCTAGGTATTATGTATGTGTGTGTGCGTGCGTGTGTGATGTTTCTTCTGTGTGTGGATGCATATGTTGTCAACTTTCAGCTGTTAAAGTATACAGGTAACCACTTATTATCTCTTATTATTGATATGTGCCGGTGAGTTGGTTTCATTAAATATTCTTCGCGCATCTTGGTATATCTCTGATCATGTATGTGTGTGTGTATGTTCCGCCTTTTTTGTCTTCTATTCCAATCAAAATGAAACGTTTACACCTTTTTGTACAATCAAAATTATTGTTCCTGTGTATATTTGCGTGCACCTTCTTATTAGAAATGCGACTATTCAAGGTTATTTCTATATACGATAATTATTTATTAGCAGCGTAGTTAGGTTAGTGGTTATTAAAATTCGTGTATTTTATGTTAATACAGTTTTAACAGTTTGAAAAAAATTTGGGCATTGGGTATATGATATTCATTATAATGATTATACAGTTTTATTTGTGATTAATTAAAGGAGTGAACTACAGCAACTCTTAGCATAAAGATAGGGAGTGAAGTGGTTAGTGGAGTGTGTTGACCACTTCACTTATTTGGGAAGTTGCATCAACCTCAACGAGCTGATTATTAACGAAATCTCAGGACAGATGCAGAGGGCTCGTTCGGCTTTGCCAAATTATGTCATCTCTGGCGTAGACGTGTTATCCAGCTATCGATCAGAGGATGTGTAAACTACCCACCCGTTCGCTCTGTCCTCCTTTATGTTTGTGAGAGATGGTCTTTGAAAGGGGAAGACATGTAATGACTGTCTTTGATCACATGTTTGCGTTCTATGTTCCACGTTTTTTAATTTCTTTACGTTCCCAGTGGAGCATAGGGCTTCAAGCTAGAGGCTTGAAGTTTTGGTAGCAGTGATGTTTATTTTTATGGGGTGAGATTTCTAGCCTCATGCCCAACCTTCCCTTTTTACCAGTCTTATTACTAACTTAGCGAGGCAAAGGAGTGCGTCGGCCGTGGACCACATGCGTGGTTGGCGAGCATTCTACAGCTGTGCCACCGACGCACTATCTTCCATGTTAGGTGATGTAATATGTTGAGTAATACTGAGGTTAATCGTAGAGTGTTAAGTGAGGAGTACAAGTCAATCGATGAAGTTGTGCAGCTATATAGACTGAGATGTCTAGGACATGTGTTACGCATTTCTAGCCATCACATTCCTTGATATACAATATTAACTCATAGGATCAGTCAGGTTGGAAAAGAACCAGTAATTATCAAACCAAAACATGACTTCATCAGTCAATGAAATCCAAAACAGTTAGCTTGAACTAGCCACATATGGAGGTGTATACTTCTTGGTTGGGGTCCTGGGGATTCTAAGAATCAGTGATTGCAGACTGTTGTTTTTATTGTTCAAAATCGTTCACAGTGGCTGGCGCAGATTCATTCACCTTCTTTGTGATCTTCTATGTCCATTAAATACTATTTTTTTGCATGTTACTATTTTTTTCTCCCTCACATTTCTGCTGATCATAGTTTTTTTGAATCTTGTCGTTTCTGTCTTTTGTGTATTACATCACAGGGTGTGGAAAGTTGAATTGCTGCACATCTGTGCCGAAGTTCTATGTTGAAAGCAATCAACCAGTCAGTCGAAGAAATAAAAAGAATCTACACTTAGATTTTTTAAAAAGAAACACAATTTATCGTGCTTAATGAGTTTAATTTCTAAAATTCAAAACGTAAATTTTAGCTTTATGGGCTTATAATTGCTTTCACTTAATACAATTTTACATCGTCCGCTACGATCACACTAAGTGGATGGGGACTTATGCTACTGCCATATGACTTCAAGGGTTGGTAATCTTCTAATAGTTTAATGCAGAGCAAGCACTATTGTTAACTTTTGAGTTTGGACTGCCTTAACCACTCACGTTTGGTGCACTTCGTGCTCTCCAAACTTGTACGGATTTCTTTTGGTGTACTTTTACTTCACTAAGTATTTTTGATTGAGGTAACCATCTACCAGTCGACCTGCACGTCTTGTCATACTTTAAGTGTTTGTATCTGTGGTACTGCATGTCAATAGGGTTAACTTAATCAGTTGTTAGGACAGATACACATTGATGACATTGAATAGCATCGGCGCTGAACAGTAAAGTATTCGTCTTTAAATCATCATGTTCTGGATTGTCCTTAAGGGTTTCAAACTGGGATGCGATATCTTTTGTTGTCCATTATGAAGATGTTTCTTCATGAAGATATTCTTCATCGTGAGCAGTTGAAACTCTTTAGTATTGCCCAACTCCTCTTCCCAATGCAAGATCATGTAGTCTTGTGGTCAACTCTGTAGCGTTGAGAACCCCATGCTTTCACTGACTGACTAAGTTTCAGTGTAGGAGTTAACACGGAAGTGCAGTAGTAGTTCAAGTGGCCACACACTCCATATAGAGCGCACAAAGGTAGGTAGAAAAAGCAAGAAAACAGAGATTCATAAGAACTATACTAACCAGAAATGTACGGAAGAAAAAATAGTAACATGGGAGAACATGAAGGTTGATTAGTTATAATAGTCAGGATCACATCGAGTGAATTCATCTGCACTATTAAAAACGATTTGGAGCCATATCACAGTCACAGTCTCAAGTCATGAGTTCTTGGTATCCCTAGAACCCCATTCAGAGACAGTCGATGCTTTTATTAAACTCTTCTCAAACCGTAACTTAGAATAAACTTCATCAGTGAGCTGCTATCCTTGTAACTAAGCTAGTTAAAATCTTTCAGTCATGCCTTTTCATCAACAATTGTGAAATTCCCATCCATAAGTTATTTATAGTCATAAGCCCCAAATTTTTTTTCCTTCACATTCCCCAGTGGAACATACGGCTTCAAGCTAGTGGCTTGAAGTTTCTGTAGCAGCGTTTATTTTTACAGGATGGGGTTGCTAGCCTCACGCCCAACCTTACCTCTTCACCAGCATTATTTCTGGCTTAGCGAGGTGAAGGAGTGCGTCGGTCGGGGATCGAACCCCGGACCATGTGCATGGTCGGCGAGCATCCTAACCGCTATGCCACCGACGCACATAAGCCAGAAATGAGGTTATTTTGTGGTAATTATCTTTAGAAACTAAAATCATTTAGATGAAATGAGTGTCAGTGGGCAATCATTTCTTCATAATTTACTTAACCGAGGTAAAATGATTTGTGCACAACTTGTTATGTTATCGTCATTATTATTTAGAAAGAATAAATTATTTTCGGATTTTCTAAACATGGAATTCACCAGCTTATAACGTTTAATTATAATTATTATATTTCTAATTTTGCTGTAAATAGGTCCATTCCCAGAGTTTGGTGGATTCTCTACTGAAAATTTAGTGCGTTATATTCCAGAGGATATGCACAATGATCATCATTCTGATGTTGTTCAACCTTGGCGATCTGTATCACACGCTGTCTGGCTTGTAGAAAATGGCAATGAACACTCAACTGTTAGATGATAAATCACATTATGTATATATATGTGTATACATAATGAAGAAAAGAAATCCTACGAATCTTTTAACACCAGTGAAGTTAAGTTTTATGATCATGTCATACATACATGCTGTGTACACTGTGAATATATAATAACACATGCATTGTGTGTGTGTGTGTATTCCTCACTTTTCTTTCGTTCTTACGAAACTGCATACACATTCACTCACTCACTCACTTACTCATTTATGGTAGCGAAGTTATCTGTGATTCCTTTGAAGAGCACCACCACCAACTACTATGCAATTCTTAACCAGAAAATAATTTAAACAATAAATAAATAATTTTGACCACTAATTAATTAATTAATCTTTCTAGGCTTTTTAAAAAAGAATTATGCATTTCAGGTGTGTAATATATATAAAAGAGAGATAGACACCTTTATGATGTGTCATTATTCATTTACTCTATTCTCTTATCTGTGTTTGTGGATATTGTGCAAATTTTCTAATTTGTAAATATGACCTATTAAATATATATTATTTTATATTCATAAATCTCTCTGCTTCATTCATGCCCTTCATTCTCATAAACAGAATATGCTAAATAGAGTGGGGGATCATCAAACTGTATGTAAACTTAGATTCGTTTTCTTTTTCATGCTCATTGTACACGTGTTTTATTTTTCACAAGCTGTCCAATGTGTGTGTAAGACGTTGTTTAACTCATCTCAGGTGTTTACTTTTCTCTCTCTCTTTCTCTATCTCTCCAAATATTCAATAGACGGTTATTTAAGTTTTTTTCAACAAGACACCAACAACAAACAACACAATAGCAGTGTTTTTTGCATTCTAACTGACTCACTCACTCACTCACTCTTTCCACCAGTGATGATGATATCCTTCCGGGTAGTGTATTGCTTTTTTCTTGTTGCTGTTGTTGTTGTTCCCATGCGATTTTTTCTCTGTTCACAAATTTCCCTTTCTTAGACATGATCCTTGCTTAGTATTCTATGTGAAGAAACTGGAAGGCTTTTTTCTCTGAAAGTCGTTGTTGTTATTATAATAAGATGTGAAAAAGAAGCAAGGTGGTTGCATTTCTCTATCGATGGATTATTACATACTCTGTGTGCATGCTGTATATATTCGTGCTATTTGGATTGCATCTGTCTATCATCTCTTGCCCTTTTCTGTTGCGTTTTTTCTTTCTTGTATACTTCTTATATATTGGAATTATATTGATAGCATTTTTATTATGAGGATTGTTACACGTACAACACTTATATTATTATTATTATTATTACTATCTGTCACACGTAACAGTAGTCTCAGTGATGTTAGTTTATTATAAATGCAATTATATAAGTGATATGAGATGACAGAGATCATTGAGCGCTTGGAGAACCTGTAATCATCTTTTTTCTATTTCTTCTCACTTCCTTTCTATACAACTGTAATTTTAACCTTTTACGTCAGAAAACCCTATTCCATCATAACATATTCTCTCTGCGTGTGTGTCCATAAGTGTCATGCAAAACAAAATACATCTGTTGGGATGATTTGTCACAGACATAGACAGATTTATGTACAGAGCTGCTACTTTTCCTTCCTCTATCTCTCTCCCCCCCTCTGTCTCCGTCCGTCTCACGTACACACTTTCCTCGTTAATTGTTCCTGTTATCAAACATCATTATTAGTAGTAGTATGTTTGGTTCTTTGTTCAAGTTAGATTTTTTTTCTTTCGTTGATACTATTGTGTTGTCGTTTTTCACAATTCCTGTATAATTCCACTTCTGTCTGCTGACTTCTGTTTATTATTATTGCATCAATAAGAAAGGCGTTCAAGAAGGTATCTTTGTATGCAGGTAGTTAGTTGTACACGTGTTTACACCTACCTGGCTTGTACGTGTGTGTATGTATCTATGTATGTATTGTATCCTTATAAGAATTTTTCTTCACAAGTGGAACTACTACTTACAATCACTTGTGTTCCCATGAACTCAAAGTGAACCAAATCTCAAATTTCCTTATCTTATTTTTCGCATTGTCTATTCACATTATTGTTTTATCTCTTATGATACTAATAATTATAATTACGATTAATTTTTCTAGTTTCTTTTGTTTGTTTGTTTGTTTATTTATGCGCCTTGTGTATACATGACAAAAATATCAAATGGATTGCATAAGTCCAAGTCTCTTTCTTTTTTTCCCGTTGAGTTTTTTTGTTTGTTTAGCATTACTGTTCAGTTGGCTAGTAGTTGTATATGCTTTGTTTGAAGGTGTTAGGTAAGTAACGAATGTCATTTTTGGCTAGCTAGTCTTTCGTTTAGTGCAGACTGAATTCTATCAATCAAAAGCCTAAATAGGACAGTGGTAATGTATGTCTCTGACTGTAGCACTAGGTGAGTTTTTCTTTCAAGAATGCAGAAACACACCTCCTTGCTGATGTATTGATGAATGCCAACAATTGCTACACCTAGGTCAAGCAAGACTTCCTGCAGATTATGTTATGATGGTAGATCTTTTGTCACGAGGTTACTGCTTAACTACTGACCAGTGCCCACTTAACTGGTAAAGCAGAACACGCGAGAATCAGCGGTAAAACCAGGTTCATTTATTATGGCAAAAGTGACTGTATTTATACAGAAAATAAGGTAGACTGGAAATCAACCAATCCGGTTGAGAGTTGGAATTGTGCAAGCGTCCAATCAGAAGCAGGAACAATTGCATGTCAACGACTTGTTAATAACGCAATAATAACTTGACTGAGACATGATAATGACCTGATAATTGCATGTGTTTTGCCTCTTCCTAACAGATTACTTCTAACTGTCTAACAGTTTTTTCATATGCTTTCAATATGAGCGATGATATTCCTAACTATGATGGATTGGATTATGCATCAGACTGTGGGAAACGAGAAGACAGTATTAGGTTGAGCCGATAAGAAGATTAGAACTTCGCGGACAACTTTTATCTAGTGTTTACATACACTGGAAGACTGACAGGTGAAAACCGACAAGTCAGGGGAAGAGGTAGGCAGCAAAGACAGAACTTCAAGTAAGCATAGAGAAGACACATGTAATGAAGATAACCAACCAACCAACAACATTAGCAAGAACCAATCATTGCATATAAGAGAAATTTGAAAGAGGTCACTTCCTTCACTTATCTAGGAAGCATCGTTTCAACTATAGGCAACAGCACTGATGAGGATGTCAAAACGAGCAAGGATGGGAAAGGCTAGGCAGACATTCATCACTCTGAAGTCAGTTTAAGAATCGGTCGCACTGAAGCATACGGAACATTTTTTGGATTTTCAACACTATTGTCAATTTCGTTCTCCCTTATGGTTAATAGAGTTAGCGCTTTACAGTAACACTTCCAACAGGCATCTGTAGACTTTCACTAACTGCCGCCTTCTCTGGCCCATCGTCAAGATCAAATGGCCAGTTAGAAAGAATTTGCAACAAGAAACTCGGTCGGACCAAGCAAGAGCCGATTCCTCAACAAATATGTAGGAGAAAATGGAGGTGGATTGGACACACGCTGAGGAGATCGTTGCGTGACATCACGCACCAGACCTTTTCTCAAGTCGAAGCCGAATGTGAAAGGGCTAGTTAGATGTGTGTCTGGGGGTGATATGGAGAAGTTTGTGTGAGGAGGAGATAAGAGCCTATGACTCAGCTAAAGAGGACCTCAAAAAACAGGGTGACATCTAGGTGTGCTGTTGAGGCTCTGTGTTCTACCTGGAACCCAAGGGAATAATAAAATATAACAACAATTTGAGCGAATGAGCAGTTTATTACATATAAATGTTTTAGGGAATTTTTTCCTGAAATAAATCAATAATAATAAAAACAGCTTTATGCTAAACAGTACGTTAATACGTCGTACAGAATTTTCAGCGTAATTTAATTGCGAAATATGTACTCTTCGTACATGATCTCCAAGTAAAATAGCATTTGGCAATACATTGTGCGGTGTTGTGTTGTTCCATATGAGACAGTATCCAATCCTCTACGATATTTTCCCCTTATTTTCTTCAATCGGAAGTGCTCTGCATTACTTTGACAGTACAAACGCGAACTGTGCGTAAGTTCATGTAGCTATTCAAAGACATAATTTACTGATTGAAATGTATAGGGAATGGAAAAGAGTTTGTGCTGAATGAAAATTAAGGTAGCTCAGTGGTTTAAACAGGCCACCTGTTTTTTTATCCATGGTTGTTTGTATAATTCTTTCACTTTGTTAGTAAGATTGTAAGCTAAAATGAGACCGATTTAATTTGGTGGATGGTAATCAGCAGTGGAATCCGGGAGGCACGTTTCGTCCTACTTGGGACTCGTCTCGTAATATACCTTCATTTCCTAATGAGTGGTAGCGTTCCCGCTGAGGCTCGAACCCAGTCCCAAATAGGACGAAATGCGCACCCTAGATTCCACTGTTAGTCACTATCCACGAAACGACTTCAGGTTAAATTCTCAAACGTCGAATTAGCCGATATGTCAAAAGAGGCCGGACTGACTGGTCTCAACATAGAACTTTGCACCGACGTGCAGCAGTTCGAGTCGCCACACCATGTAGCACACAAAGCAAGAGAAGAAAATAAAAGGAAATGCAAAACATAGACAGTAAACAGAGATACGATGCAAAAAGAACAGTAGTATCGAAGAACAACATAGTTTTATTGGGTGTTATAAGTCACAAGGAGTGGATGCATCTGTGCCAGCCATTGAAAGCGATTTTGAGCCATATCACCAGTTGTTTCCAGCCCTCATTGGTGTCTACCGTCCCGAGGACCCCAACCAGGAAGTTTACACCTTCCTACGTGGCCGGCTTAAACTAAATGTTGTGGATTTCATTGACTGATGAAGCTATGTTTTGGTTTGACCACCAGTGGCTCTTTCCCAAACTGACCCTATGTCAGCTAACATTTCCCGTTGTCGAGGAAGGCGATGGCTAGGCATACGTAACACATGTCCTAATCATCTCAGTCAAACGCCGAACAGTTCGGTCCAATCAATCAACGGGAAAGTCCAAATTGAATATGTTGTCACAAGTCTAGGAAATTGTAGCCTTCACATTTAAATAAAGGGATAGATGCATTGATTCTTTGAATTGTGCGGATCAGATAGTAACGGGATGCTAACCACATTGTACAATACTCTAGTGTGTGCAGTAAAGTTCAGATGGAACTTTTCAAAAAAGGGTGATGCAAGAAATCCAATCGTCACATGCTACTTGTTATAGCTGAACAGTTGTAAATCACTTTCTCTAACAATTGATTTATAGAAAAGTAGTTGTAATACACTCCGTCTCATTATTAATAACTTTATTTCTCTTCGTCGTAGCATTTCTGGCTTCATTGAGGACTGATACAGGTTTAAATCTGTGAAAGGAAATTAGTCTCCTCAAGCTTGTGAAAATACCGTACTATGGATTGCAAATAAACGTTAAACTTAAGTAATAGAGAGGGCTGTTTATACATTACTTAATTAAACTTCGTCAATGTATCGTGTGATTCGCAGTATAATTCAAACCATCGAGGGATTTCGACGGTGATTAATCCTCATAGCACTAGCCAATTTTTCTGAAATTATTTGAGAAGCTGATGGTGATCTTTAGAGGTGCACTGTCGCAACACCTTTACAAAATGTAGCCTTACACAGGGCTAGAAATTACGCATATTTCTTGACAGCCAGATAATCTATCTTGTATTTCAGTTAAAAACATTTGAAATGTGTTTGGAACCATTCATTACCTTACAGATGATATATCGTAACAGAAAGTGCTATACTACAGATTAGTTGGTGTATATTCCTACCAAAAAATATGTCAAAGAAAATGGAGACGGATCGAACACATGTTGAGGAGGTCGTTGGTTGGCTTCGCTCTAGTGGTACCCGAATGGCAAATAAGTAGTTGTTCGTGGGTACCTTGGTGACATAGGTGATGTCGTGTGAGGAGAAGATGGAAACTTAAGGGCCGAAGAGGACTGCAGAGAATGGGATGGAATAATTGAGGATGTGCTCTTGAAGCCCTATGCTTAAGTTTGAACCCAAGGGAATAATAATAAGATTTGTATCAAACCATTAAGGTGGCATAAGCTGATCAGTCGAGATTTTCATCACCCATGGTAGTGGAGAAATCTGATGAAATCATACCGCATACCCCTCGGACATCTACAAAATAATATGCAGCTTTTGCTGATAATCATAGGATTTCTTTCTTGATATATATTATAAAGCTTCATGTTCTCTCATGTCAAAACAAAGTTCAGTCTATGTTAAAGATGCTAATCTACATGACATTCTGTATGTGCCCAATAAATGTTATTAAGTCGATTTCCATCTTGAAGAAGGATGTATCCACCATCTGTTTTCCTGATGTGTTTCTCACCAGCTATAACAATCGATCTCCGTTCGTAGAAAAACTTCTTGAACTTGGCAACTGTGTGCTTATTACTAAAGGATAGAATCCTATATATTTTCTTCGTGGTCGAAAAAGGAATGTATCTAGTCTACATTGTGCGGATACGACGATCAGTTACTGTAAACCATTATTTCAAATATGAAAGGAGGCTGTTTCTGAAACCCATTATAAACTGACTTGCTTAGAAAACTGTCTTCGTGAACTCAAAATTTAAATGTATTTAAGTGTCAAATGTAGTCTGCTAGGTGACTAAATTAGATATTTTTTTGACGTAACCTCAGATGACCTTCATCATTCGAAAGCTGAAGAAAGAGACTAACTTCCTCCCCAGAACTCTAACTCTCAGTTCATCTGTTTCTATAGAATAACTTAAGCTATCGACCTACATATGAGAAGATTACTACATAGCTTCTCAGGGGGTTTAAAGCAAAATATTACGACTTATCTTCCAGTGCATCTGACAATCCATACATGGACACTAAAACTGCTTATTTTATTCGTTCAAATCTCCCACCTTTTCTTTGCTACTGTCTTTCTTAACTCTGAATATTCTGGAGTAGATGTTGGTTCAGACCATCATCTAGTTCGAAGGATGTTCAGAGTGAAGCTGAAATCCAAGGAAACAAATGGATACAGACCACAATTCAGGTTCAACATTCAGAAACTGAAGGACAAAACTACAAGGGATACCTTCACTACAGATTAGATCAGAGCAAAGTCGGACATACTACGTGGCATCACTTAGGAAACCTGTGTG